TTGGCAGGCAAAAAAACCACAAACCAGCAGAGTGCGTCAGCGAGACCGAACAGCAGCTGAGCGACACGGAACATTGTGCATGCTGGCATAGTCTTGTCAGATCACGGCGACAATATAGACCGCATGCAAGAATCTGTTCTGGACTTCTATGTCGGTGGTCTACCCCTTCAGCACCCACAGCCATTGAGGCTGAAAATACATGTGAACCGGAGGCAACAATGAACCATCGGTCATCGAACGAAGAAAACAGTCTCCGAATCAAAGCAACAACCTCATCGCTTCGTTTCAAACCGGCCCAACTAACTTTACCACAGCTCATCACTGCTCACCGGTGGTGCCGGTTGGCAGTATCCAACAATATGAGAGGTTCAGGGAAAATACACATCCTTGTGAATCGACAGGCATGATTCCAGGAAACACTGGCCAAGTTTCAGAGCGCGCTTGATGCTTGTTTTGACGAGATGCTGCCATGGATGGTTTGCTGCAGCATCGTCAAGTGCTCCAAGCAGGACGCATCATCAAGAAGGCGTTCGGTGACACAGCTGCAAGTGCTGTCAGGACCGAAACGACTTTTCATTTGCTTTCACATCACAATCGGGACAACAATCCGGGTGGCAAAGAAAAAACATTGTCCTCCTGCAAGTTGTCCACACAAACATTTTATAGTTGTGGAGGAACCGTGTTGAAACGTTGAAACCATATGTTTGATCGGAGTGAAGCAGGCAATCGCTTCGACAGAAAGATAGCATCAAAAAACAACCTTGACACTGACGCTTGACTGTGACTGTTGGGCACAGATGTTTGAAACCTTCTTTCCGTGTTGATTCATTGCCAGCTACATTCTGAAATTCAATCGTTTTGAACATAACATGCCCGCAAACCAACAGGTATTATAATATTGGCATTGAGGAGGACAAACGACAGGGATCTAAAAGCGAACGGTGAGGTGATGGTGTGATTTTTCTTGTTCGCCTGGACACCAGCAGTGAAAGGTTTGCACCAGAGGTGATAGTCAACGTATTATATCCAATTCCAGGGGAAATGATGATCCAAACAAACACTCGTGGCCAACCCGCTCTTCAGAAATGCTCGTTTGAACATGCAGGAACTTCCTCCTCTATTGGTTTTGGTCACTTTTTGCGTACTCTGCGGTCAAAAGAGCTTTAGGCGTCTCGGTCCCAAGAGAGGCACACAGGGTTTCACCAGGATGGGGGGAGCATCGACAGCCGAAAGTTGCCACGAGGTTTTGGGCCAGTTCGCTCTGAGACACGGGGCTTAGCCCGGAAGCGACGTGTTGTCAACCTGGGCGCTGGTGAAGACCTCTTGGATGCTCCTAGTGCAAAGGCAGTTTTGCAGCTGCTTTGCTTCCAATATATTTTTATGATTATTTTGGTGATTTTTGTCAAAATTCAAATCCAAGCACCTTGGGTCCTCCTTGGGTCATCCCAGAGGCCTGTATGAGGAACAGCGGGTGCATTGTCCTAAGGTTGACTTCGCGCCTTGCCGGTAGCATTGAGAAAATTTTCCTCCCTGCTCATGATGGTCAAGGTTGGTGTGGATTCTGCTCAGTGTGCAAACGACCGCTGCAGGCCATCCGCAAAGTTGTTTTTGCATTGTTTGTTCTTATTTGTTCTTCTTAGGGATTTCGGATGATTTCGGGATGTCCCATGCCAGGATCCTGGATTTGGTTCCCGATACTATGGGTTTGCAAGGAAAAACAGAGCTGTCAGGTCAGAGTGGCTGATCCAGCGGCAAGTGTGCGCAATGTCGAAGTTGCACCTCATGCTCGAAAGCGTTTTGCCTTCTTGGTGTGTTTGTGGGGCAGTTCGAAGGACGCAAAAGTGTGCCGTTGAGAGGTTTCCACACCTTGCAGCATGAGAATACACGCGTGGCATGGTGCGAACAGAATCGAACAGATGCCACCGAAATTGGGTTCATTAGCTTTGCTGACGCAGCAGCTGCAAACATGATTCATATTTCTGCTGTCTTTTGCCTTTTGCAGGTTTTTGCACTGCCAGCACCGCTCACCTAGTCTGAGCTTACAACACAGTATGCGGCTGACAGTTTCAAGAAACATGTAGTGGCCAAGAGGTTTGCAGCATTGATACTAGGACTACGTCCTGGGAGCTTTAGTCCTTGGTAGCTTGGTTGCACTGATTCGGCCTACCCATCGCTCAACAAGCACATTGTACAGTCAGTACTTCCGCAGGTCAGGTTAAGGGGTCTTCTCAGGCTCAGCCCAGCAAAACCACACTGACTGAGCCTTGTTGGCCCAGGATTCTCCATCAAACGTACCAAAACAAAGCATTCGCTGGTGTGCTTGCACACAGATGATGTCCCTAAAGAACATCTGGAACTTCTGAGCCTTTTCTGGGAATGCCGTTTAGTTCAGCACATCGAGGCCAGGGTGTTGACTTTTAAGGTTTGCGCAGGGTCAAACACCTTTCTATCTTCGGAGGTTGGAAGAGAGTTGTGCCAGAGTTTGCGGGCAGATTCTATGCTTGTAAAACCTGGCGCTGGCGACAGGTCGCAGCTGCCCAGCGCTTGAGCACTGATAGCCGCATTGAGGAGTCGCGTTTCTTCAAAGTCTTCACGAAACTCAGAGCGTTGGAGCAGATCGACTTTGAGAAAGTCCTGGTCATGGACATTGACTTGTTGGTTGCCCGACCTCAGAAAGTCATTTAAATTCTACAAATATTCACAATCACTTCATTGCACCAGTTGCATTCGGTGGCTTTTCCATCGAATGCGACGCACATATTTCCTGAGTGTTTCTGAACATTTGGAGTGTGCTGAAGGTCATGTCCAGTATCGATGATTTGTTTGAGCTGCCAGCCCCTGCTGCGCTGAAGAGGGGCATGAATCGAGGGAAGTGGCCTTACAAACATGGAAACTTTGTTGCATGGACGGGGTGGTTTGGGTGCGGAACTTGTCGCGTTGTTTTTTCATATCTTGACATGTGTCTTGATTCGCCTGCGCAGAGAAACCGCTGCATTGCAAAGCAACTTCTTCCATTCATGTTGTTATTTTTGTTAACCTTTCGTCCACCCCTTGGCAAGCAAAAAAACGGATAGAATGTCAGATAGAATGCTAGAACAATGCCAGATAGAATGCCAGAGAAACAATTGGAGAGAATGCGGATAAGGTGCCAGAGAAAATGCCAGATAAAATGTCAGACCGAACCGAATGTCAGCTAAAATGTCAGATAGAATGCCAGAGAAAATGCCAGATAGAATGTCAGATAGAATGTCGGGTAGAATGCCAGGTAGAATGCCAGAAAGAATTAAAGAAAAAATGTCAGAGAATATGTCAGTGGGGATCATGCAAAGGTAAAGTAATTTCGTGTTTGGTTTTCAGATTCCTTTTTCCTTGCGACTGAGAGCGTTGAGGTGATGACCTGGATGGAAGCACTTTTTTTGGTGGCCGCAACCCGGGCAATGAACATTCCTGGGGCCAGGGCACCGGAATCAATGCTGGGGTGATGCTCCTCGCCCCGAACCTGGCAGATTTCTTGACGATGCAGGCGGGGTATTGCGAGCTACTTCAGTGCTTCGACATGTTTGTTTAGATATAAAAATGGGGAGGGGGGGGGGTAGTGCTAACGAGGAGGAAGAGGGGAGTTGAGGTCGTTTTCCGGCACTATTCAGAAATTTTCTAGATTTAGCCCGAGAGCGCAATTGAGCGGCGAGGTTCCATAATAACAATAGTGGGGTCTGTAAAACAGCTTCTCATCTAATCACATCTCATCTTCACATCCTCGCTCTTCACACTGCTGGATCATCTTCACATCCCTCATCTTCACATCCTCTTCTCTTTCCATCTGCTCATCTTACACTTCCCATCTGCAACATCTTGTTCAGCTTCACACCTTCCATCACATTTGCTCATCTTCACACCTTCCCATCTTCACATCTTCTCATCTTCACATCTGCTCATCTTCACACCTTCCCATCTTCACATCTGCTCATCTTCACATCTGCTCATCTTCACATCTGCTCATCTTCACATCTGCTCATCTTCACATCTGCTCATCTTCACATCTGCTCATCTTCACACCTGCTCATCTTCACACCTGCTCATCTTCACATCTGCTCATCTTCACATCTGCTCATCTTCACATCTTCTCATCTTCACATCTGCTCATCTTCACATCTGCTCATCTTCACATCTGCTCATCTTCACATCTTCTTATCTTCACACCTGCTCACCTTCTCTCTCATGCCTTCTTTTTATCTTTCTCTCTTAAGGCCGAGGGTGGTGCCGGCGGCGAGTCACGAAACGTCAACCCTTTCGCAGGAAATGAGGGTCGATCGGCAAAAACTGCGGTAAAATTGCGATTTGACTTGTCCCGGAGCAACCCTTTCGCACGAAATGAGGGTCGATCGGCAAAAACTGAGGTAAAACTGCGATTTGACTTGTCCTGGAGCAACCTTTTCGCACGAAATGAGGGTCGATCGGCAAAAACTGAGGTAAAAGTGCGAGTTTTTTAATACCCATATGTTTCTATTACAACTTTGTCCCGGAGCAACCCTTTCGCACGAAATGAGGGTCGATCGGCAAAAACTGATTTAAAAGTGCGATTTTACTTGTGCCGGAGCAACCCTTTCGCACGAAATGAAGGTCGATCGGCAAAAACTGAGGGAAAATTGCGATTTTACTTGTCCTGGAGCAACCCTTTCGCGCGAAATGAGGGTCGATCGGCAAAAACTGAGGTAAAAGTGCGATTTTACTTGTGCCGTTCTTGTCTGTGTGTAAAAGCGCCTGTGTGTAAAAAGCGTCTGTGTGTAAAAGTCTCTGTGTGTAAAAGCGTCTGTGTGTAAAAGCGTCTGTGTGTCAAAGTGTCTGTGTGTAAAAGCGTCTGTGTGTAAAAGTGTTTGTGTGTAAAAGTGTTTGTGTTCAAGTGTTTCTGTGTAAAAGCCTCTGTGTGTAAATGTGTTTGTGTGTGAAAGCGTTTGCGTGTAAAAAGCGTCTGTGTGTAGAGGTTGTCTGTGTGTAAAAGCGTCTGCGTGTCAAAGCGTTTGTGTGTAAAAGCGTCTGTGTGTAAAAGTGTTTGTATGTAAAAGCTTCTGTGTGTAAAAGTGTTTGTGTCAAAGTGTTTGTGTAAAAGTGTTTGTGTAAAAGCCTCTGTGTGTACATGTGTTTGTGTGTGACAGCGTCTGTGTGTAAAAAGTGTCTGTGTGTAAAAAAGCGTCTGTGTGTAAAAGCGTCTGTGTGTCAAAGGGTTTGTGTGTAAAAGCGTCTGTGCGTAAAAGTGTTTGTATGTAAAAGCTTCTGTGTGTAAAAGTGTTTGTGTTACAGTGTTTGTGTAAAAGCCTCTGTGTGTAAAAGCTTTGTGTTTAAAAGCGTCTGTGTGTAAAAAGCGTCTGTTTGTAAAAGTGTTTGCGATGCAAACTACTGTCTTGCACTTCTCACTGTCCTGTCTTGATACTCCTCTTCTCGACTGCCTATAACAGAGCTTTCATATATCGTTTCTAATATTGCGTCTCCATACTAACAAGAGAAGACCCTGCTCCCCCCTGAACTGGCCGAGCAAACATGACTGTAAGCATTCCCAGAGCTTCTTTTGGTGGCCGTGGTGCTCGTCTTTGGAGATTTTGGAGGCCTGCTGCATGTTGCCGTGTGGCAGTCATTCGATGTTTTGCAGCTAGCTTTTGGTAAAACCGCATGATTTTGCGAGTTTCAACTGCAAGCTTGTGTTCCGTTTGTTTGGTGAAAGCATGAAGCTGGTCGGCGCAGCTATTGGTTCGAGATTTGTATCGCGCTTGGCGTCTATAAGTTGTCACTCTGGGTTCGCTGCAACCGGATATGTCCGAGAAGGTCGGAGAGTTGCAACAAGGCTTGACAGAGGGAGGAGTTGATCCCTTCCGGCGCCAGGTGCGCAAACTTGGGATCAATGCATTGACGGCTTTAGCTTCTGAGATGGGGATGTCACTGTGTGGCATTCATTCGATGTTTTGCACCGCATGATTTTGCGCCAGGTGCGCAAACTTGGGATCAATGCATTGAAGGCTTTAGTTTCTGAGCTGGGGATGTCAGTGTGTGGCAGTCATTCGATGTTTTGCAGCTAGCTTTTGGTAACACCGCATGATTTTGCGCCAGGTGCGCAAACTTGGGATCAATGCATTGAAGGCTTTAGTTTCTGAGCTGGGGATGTCAGTGTGTGGCAGTCATTCGATGTTTTGCAGCTAGCTTTTGGTAACACCGCATGATTTTGCGCCAGGTGCGCAAACTTGGGATCAATGCATTGAAGCCTTTAGCTTCTGAGCTGGGGATGTCAGTGTGTGGCAGTCATTCGATGGTTTGCAGCTAGTTTTTTGGTGAAACCGCATGATTTTGCGCCAGGTGCGCAAACTTGGGATCAATGCATTGAAGGCTTTAGCTTCTGAGCTGGGGATGTCAGTGTGTGGTAGTCATTCGATGTTTTGCAGCTAGCTTGTGGTAAAACCGCATGATATTGCGCCAGGTGGCAAACTTGGGATCAATGCATTGAAGGCTTTAGCTTCTGAGCTGAGGATGTCAGTGTGTGGCAGTCATTCGATGGTTTGCAGCTAGCTTTTGGTAAAACCGCATGATATTGCGCCAGGTGCACATACTTGGGATCAATGCATTGAAGGCTTTAGCTTCTGAGCTGGGGATGTCAGTGTGTGGCAGTCATTCGATGTTTTGCAGCTAGCTTTTGGTAAAACTGCATGATTTTGCGCCAGCTGCGCAAACTTGGGATCAATGCATTGAAGGCTTTAGCTTCTGAGCTGGGGATGTCAGTGTGTGGCAGTCATTCGATGTTTTGCACCTAGCTTTTCGTAAAAGTGTTTGTGTGTAAAAGTGCCTGTGTGTAAAAGCGTTTGTGTGTAAAAGCAGCTCCTGTCTGTAAAAAGGTCTGTGTGTAAAAGTGTCTGTGTGTAAACATGTCTGTGTGTAAAAGTGTCCGTGTAAAAGCGTCTGAAAGCAGCTCCTGTCTGTAAAAAGGTCTGTGTGTAAAAGTGTCTGTGTGTAAACATGTCTATGTGTAAAAGTGTCCGTGTAAAAGCGTCTGTGTGTCAAAGCGTCTGTGTGTAAAAGCGTTTTAGTGGACGGCGCAGTTATATCAACTTTCTGGGTCTTGGTTTGTTGGAGTGAGGTTGTTCTCCACTTGTTTCTAGGTGATGTTTACGTCCACTCTCTCTTTATTTTCTATCGTCTGTGTGTAAAAGCGTCTGTGTGTAAAAGTGTTTGTGTGTAAAAGTGTTTGTGTGTAAAAGCCTCTGCGTGTAAAAGCGTCTGTGTGTAAAAGTGTCTGCGTGTAAAAGCGTCTGTGTGTAAAAGAGTTTCTGTGTAAAAGTGTTTGTGTGTAAAAGTGCCTGTGTGTAAAAGCGTCTATGTGTAAAAGCTTCTGTGTGCACAAGCATTTGTGTGTAAAAGCAACTCCTGTGTGTAAAAGGGTCTGTGTGTAAAAGTGTCTGTGTGTAAACGTATCTGTGTGTAAACGTGTCTGTGTAAAAGCTTCTGTATGTAAAAGCTTCTGTGGGTAAAAGCTTTCTGTGTAAAAGTGTCTGTGTAAAAGCTACTGTGTGTAAAAGCTTCTCACTATTTGGTCTTGATACTCCTCTTCTCGACTGCCTATAACACATCTTTCATACATCGTTTCTAAAATTGCGTCTCCATACTAACAAGAGAAGACCCTGCTCCTCTACGCTCTCGGGCCATCCGTCGTCTAGTTTATAACATGTGATGACATTGGATTCAGCACCAATTGGGTGTGCCACATTTTTTTGAAGATGAGTTCCATTTATTTGACTCCCTATGTTTTCTTATCATAAGCCGTAGCCTCCGGTAATTTACATAACATAGCTGTGGAAAATGTCGCCGCGTAGCGTCGCCGCGATAGGAAACAGCTGGCCTCAACCTTGATGGACATGGCTCGGCACATGCGGATCCCGGCCTTGTTGGAGCAAGACTCAGGCAGATGGGCCGCCCTGGTGATCTTGTGGGATTTTATAGGGATTCAATGGGGGTTCAATGGGACTCAACCTCTCTCAAATTGAGACCCTCCCTTCGTATCTATGGTAGTGTTTTTCTGTGGCCCACAAGATGTTTTCCCGCTATCCATTGAATACACTGGCAGTCCACTTACTTCATCGCCGTTAGACTCTAATGTTAGAGAAAGCCAGGCCACACCCTCGCGTCCAACGTCGCGAAAATGCCCCTTGCCGTCCCATTTAGAATGAGGCCCAGGTGGATCGATCTTGCTGAAAGATGGTGACTCAGCCACTGAGGTTTCCTGAGATCTTTGCGAAACAGGAGCAGGAGAGGGAGCTGCAACTTTCGCTGGTTGTGAACAGTGGATTGGAACATCGGTAGCCAGGAGTTCCAGTTCGCCAGCTATCCCCAGCTGCGCCGGGTGCTGCCTGAAGGACCTGGAGCCGAAGAATCTCCATCTCCATGGGTAATCTAGAGGGAGTTGGGTTCAGTCGCACATTTCCAATCCCATCGCGCTGATGTATCGATGATGATGATGATGATGATGATGATGATGATGATGATGAGAGAGATATATATATATATATGATTACACTCACACACACATAAATAAATATATATATATTTCTTACCATTTTTTCAGGCCCCGATCCATGAATGGATTTAGCAATAGACCAGGGTTTTGATCGAGGATATTTGACATTTTTAGGGGGAAGGGGGTTGCCATCCGTTCTCATCTGGAATTGCTGACTTCTTTGTCCAAATGATATGACTGATATGACCCTAATGCCGAATGACTAGAGGGAATCACCCTCAAAATGGCTTATTTCCATTTATTTCCAGTATTTTCCAGTTTTGGACTTCTTTGATTTGGTGAATCATCGAAAAAAAAGTCACGTGTTTATCCCACGAAACAACGAGCTTTGAGCCCTGGCTGGCAGGAGGTCTCTGCCATGTGTCGGCTGAGGCGGGCTGCCAGACTCATCCATGAAGGGTTGGAAGGATTGGAAGCTTCATCTTACCAGGAGTCTTACCTCACCCATGTATCTATTTTTGTGGATGGATGATGGCTGTGAGCCGATCCATCTACTGGGATTCGAAAAATGCTTGACCACAGAGCCTACACGGCTCAAAACCCACTGAATCGCACTTGAGTGGTTAGAAGTGGTAGTAATTTCCTAATCACCGAATGGATCTTGAGTTCGAAACCATTCATGACCATGGTTACCCTCTGGTAAACTAACATAACTATGGAAAATCACCATTTTTCATGGGAAAACTCACTATAAATGGTGATGATGTTCCATAGTTATTTTGACATAACCAGAGGGTATGACCCGTCAGTTAAGAAGTGACGAAGCCACGCCATCCACCGCGGGATGCGCATCCTGGAGGTGTATCGACTGGAAGATGCTTGGTTGGACTTGGTGCCCGTGCAGCCCCACGTCTCCCTACATTCACAAGAGCAGCGAGACGCTGGGCAGAGAAAAACCGAAATGGATGCAGAAGGCAGGTTCAAAGCTATACAAAATTTGGGTGACGAAAAACATTCTAGGTAGCTGCTATTAGTTGCTAATGGTTCCAGCTTTGTTTCCCAAAACCAAACGTAGTGGGTGGCTAGGGATGCTGGCCAAACTGCAAACAAGTGAGGTGTGACATGGAGGGGGTGGGCGTAAGAATCAAATAACTTGGAATTGGTTTACGGGAAAACTTGCTGGAAACCACCATACTTGGTGGGGAATTGATCATTGATCCATTAAATCCATTATTCATCATTTTTGACGCTTAAACTACCATTTGTGAGGTTAAGCATGGTTGAACCACCATGATTCACTAATTACTGTTAATTACTGTAGTCACTGATGAAATCCTCCAAAAAGGGGAGGGGTAGGCGAGTTCTAAACCAGCGACCCCGAGGCAGTGATGCGTGGGAGGATGGAGGCCATGATGCAGCCAAACAGCCGATTGGATGGGGATTTTCGTCACAGGAATCCATGCCATCCCAAAGTGGATTCCTGACCATGTCCTGCCAGGGGCCTGTGGGCAACGATCCGGGCAACTCGGTGGTAGATGCCCAACATTCTTGGATCAAGCAATGCTCATTCTCGTTTCTCATAGCCTGATGTACAGATTTGTGGATGTGTATGTCTATGTGTCATACTGTATGCTGCGCAGAGTATCGGTACACATACATGAACTCATACCCTCTGGTTATGACTAACATAGCCATGGTATAGATGGTCCATAAAAATAGATGGTTTACCTATTAAGAATGATGATTTTCTATGGCTATGTTAGCCATAACCAGATGGCATCATCACCATCATCCCCTCAGGTAGTCGGGTGACTACGCCCGACGTCACGTTGTTGGTGGTGGGTTCAGAAAAAAACCCTTCAAAAAAGCAGCTCTCAATGTCGCAGTTTTTTGTTTAAAACAATTTCAATCAAAAAAGAAATTGGGATGATGATTATTTTCAGGCAAACTTTGGGATGATATTATTTGCTAAGTATTTGCAACATGTTCAAACATTCCAATTCTTGGTCAGATGATCCCCAATGATTTTGCGAACTCAGGCTGCGGCTTGAACGACCAGCTACAGAAGGAATTGGACTTCCTCTCGGCAGATGCCAGGCCTCCGACCAAAAATCACCAAAAAACAAGCAGAAAATGGTTAGAGAGAGATGAGAACATCATTCCTCAGACCCAATGTTTGGGGGTTCAGCTTGAATTTAGCGTGTATAAGTAAGTATATAAAGTATATATATTACACATATGTATATACCCTCTGGTTATTTAACATAGCCATGGAACATGGCCCATTTATAGATGGTTTACCTATTAAAAATGGTGATTTTCCATGGCTATGTTAAATAACCAGATGGTATATATATATACACATTCCATTATTGTTCTCTCAGATTCTGACTGATATTTATGTTTTTTTCCTCAAGACATCTGCAAGATAATCATCAAAGCTCCTAGACTCCTAGACCCTTGGACCAGGAGAGCCGAGGCGTGTATCACTCAGCTGGCCAAAGAGACACCTGGCTGAAACGTGGCTGGGAAATCCTCGGGAAAGCATGGGAAAATATGGGGAAATCCACTATGAATGGAGGTTTTAGAGCTGGGGATATACTCAAATCTCGCGAAAAAAGTAGGAGTCTAATTTGTGAGCGGAATATCTTGGATGAGTTCAACAAAAACGACTCAACGTGATTCAAAGTGGGGTTCAAACATCCATCAAACATCCATCAAACAAGAGAAAAACGAACTTTGGCCACCAGAGGTATCCCAGTGAGATTCTAAGCAAATGTGCGAAAGAGGATGATCTTGTGGATTGGCTTTGGCTTTTGGCTCTTGGCCTATTGGGTTACAGACTTTTGATGCCTTAGCAGTTGAGATCCAAATCCAATTCGACCAAAGGCACGCACGGATTGGTCCGGATTCCATATTTATCCGCTGGTTCTAGGTAAGCTCGATCTATACTTTGTCCCGGGTCGGCCCAGTTCGATTGATAAGGTTCTCAACTCAAAAACTGCTTTGGAAGAGGTTTTGCTTTCTTGTTTCGGGACAGCTGCATTTTCTGGGAGAGAAAGCAGATTTTCTGCAGGTACACTACGGCCAAGTCTCTGCATATCTAAAACATTGGAGTCATATCTGCATCTACACCATCAATATGTACTAAAATATTAGTGCGCACAGATCACCATCCTGTTCAACCACCTCGTCGGACCACTGCATTTACAGACATAATCTATGCAATCTATGCACACATTCAGATCATCGAGTTCCACGATGGCCAGGTAAAAGGGACAGGATGAATCTCAATCTCCAAACTTTTTGCTGGTTATCCCAGATGAAAAAGGGATGAAAAAACCACCCCCGACAAGATAGAAGAGTCAAATTCTACTCAAATAATTGTCACTTTTTTTTTTGTGGGTTACTATACCCAAAAATCATGGTTCATCATCATTCATTCCACTAGAAATTACCATAGATTTGATGATATTCCATTAAATTCATCAAAAATGCAATCTTTGATCATATGTTCGATCTAAAAGTGCCATAAAATTCTCACAAATTGCCATGAATTGCAACCAGATTCTTCCATTCCCGGGATGGGATCCTTTTTTGAGGCGTGCCAAGCCCGGCATGTCGCCACGCCACTTCAACGAGTCCCAGCGGAGGCCCTCCGGCAGAGGTTTTGTAGCTGGATGGGAAATGGAGGATGCCTAAGACTCTAAGACCTACATATTGGCAGAGACTGAATAGAATTACACATTGTGATGATGATGATGATGATGATATATATATATAATTACACACACATATATATATACATACTGGTTGGTGGTTTCAAACATGAATTTTATTTTCCATTTCATATATGGGATCATCCTTCCCATTGACTTTCATATTTTTCAGAGGGGTTGAAACCACCAACCAGTATATATATATTTGTCATATCTACGTGCTGTATGTTGGTTTTTCATCGTTTTCAATTGCAAATTACAAAGTCCATCATGCTGCGGGGGTCCGAGGGTCTTGCCAGAGATATTCTCGCCAGGCATCTCTTGGTTGACATTCAGGAGGCCGGGTCCGTCCTTGGAATGAATCTGTTGCAAAAACCGAAGCTTCTGGTTGGATGACAAGAAATCAAGAATTTCATGGGCATAGCATGTTTATTCCGTGGGTTGCTGCATTTACAGTTATTGACTGTGATCCTTTTTACCAAGCTCACAGCAATGCCAATTTTCTTTGCTTAACTGACCACTTCTCTGGTGAAGCGATGTTGCTCGTCGCAGGCGGAGGAAGACGAGGGCGAATCTTCAGGCGGTGCTTTCTATTAACCTGGGATCGATTTTTTTTTGCCAGCGAAGCAAGTCCAACTGCAATATGCAGACCAAGCTCAATCGCGGATTTCTTTAAAACACTGTTGCATCGCTTCACCACTTGGGCCAACCAGCGCGGCAACAGGTTCTCATGTTAACAGGACGAATGCTAAACACAAAATTTGGGCCAATGATTTGGAGCGGGAAAAGCTAAGTTCTTCCATGAGTCTTGGACTAAACTGATTGTTCACCCTCTGGTAAACAAACATAACTATGGAAAATCACCATTTTTGATGGTAAATCAACTATAAATGGCAATTTTCAATAGCTTTTTGTATGGTTTACCAGAGGGTACTACTTTGGAGTCACCAGAAATGGTCAAATTATCCCAAGTCATCCGAAGTCTATGGTGAGTTTCTGGGAGAAGTTCCCCAGCCGCCTGCAGGTATGGAGTCACCTGAGCATTTGCTGAAGGCGTGCTGAACGATGGAAAACATTGCGCTACGTAGATGGGGTTGAACCAAGACCTACCCTCTGGTAAACTAACATAGCTATGGAAAATCACCATTTTTCATGGGTAAATCCACTATAAATGGCCATTTTCAATAGCTATGTTAGTTTACCAGAGGGTATGGGGGAACGATAACTTGGGGCTGTACCAGTTTGAATTCCTATGCTGCGAGGCATTTTTGATGATGCGCCATCTGTGTGCCCGAAATCTGCGGCGCGAACTTTTAGGTGCAGACTGGGATTCCATGACTTCAAAATCGCTTGGAGCCGGGATATTCGGAGCATGTTGCAACCCCCCTGGCTTGACGGATCTTCAAGATTTACCTGATTTTTGAGATTTGCTCATCATCCCCCGTTTGTAAAGCGATAGTAATCCACCAATGTTTTGACAATTTATACAGCCCATCAATGGTAAAACTGGGGATGGTTTACTATTTATCTCCTTTTCTGGGATGGTTTACCATGGAACATTTTTTTCCATATATTGGGAATGTCATCACCCCAACTGACTTTCATATTTTTCAAGATGGTTAAACCCACCAACTAGCCATTGTTTTCCCATTTTCTCCCATCAATGGTATCATCCCCAGCGCCAAAAGCACCACGAAGGCCTGCTGAATCTCTTCCGCTTCGCTCAGCAGAAGATCTCCCATGGCGTGCTCCTGCTGCAAGCGTCGGCCACCAATGGCACCAGGTCAAACAAGAAGGACCCACTCAGAAGCATATGGGGGGGGGTTCCTGAAATGGGGGTACCCCTACAAGGTGGTGCCCCGTAGTTAGTTAAGTTGATTTATAACTCCCATAACTATGGTTTATGGTAGATATAACTATAGTTAATGGGGTTTATAAACCAACTTATAACTGGGGGGCACCATCCTGTAAATCATCAATTTTCAATAGGATTTTCAATTATAAACCATCCAGCTATTGGGGTATCCACATGTATGGAAATCCCCATATGTTCCTCATCATTTTTCATCAGCCACCCTGCGAGGACATTTTCGGCGAGAAGCCCGAGCCAGCACAGGCAAAGTCAACGAGCATTTGGACTGGAGTCCCCCAAAATCATGGTGGCTTAATGGGTGAATACAAGGGTACTAGTAGCAGGGTCAAAGCTACCACACCCAAACATGAATGATCTAATATGGTTGAAATGAATAGAAAATTCAGGGGCCTCATTGGTACCCGACTTGGTGAGTGGCAAACTCACCAGACGCGTAAACGCCAGGAACAGCCCTTGCTGCCGGGCCATTTGCCGCCCTCCTTTCCGCTCGCCTTTCCGGTCAGTTGCCGAGGTGGGGCGGTTGGGAAGAGCTGAAAAAACCTGAAAATTTTCACCGCAGTCGGGTGGCATCTTGGCGAATCCTTCAATTTCTTTGTTGCTTCGAAGGCTTCGGATTTTTGAAAAACAACATTGGAGGAATCGGTGGATAAGACTTCAAATTTGAGAAAAGGGAGGCTGAGGGTGGATAACACCCCAAGAATCGGAGGGTGAAGCCGCAAGAAAAGGGGTTCAGCTGGCCGTGACGAACTACTTCGATTGGCATCCTAGGTGATAACATTTGATGACTGGTTACAGCCTATATGGCCTATGCGTAATTGGGTGTATATAAAAAAGTCATCCTGTATATATCTATTTGTATATATTTTTATATATATATATATATCTATATCTATATATGTATCTATATATACGTTACTTACCATCCAGCAAACTAACATAGTTTACAGAAAAGCCATGGGATTCCCAAGGGAGCTGATGTAGAAATGGTAGATCCGCACCACCTGGACTTCCGCACCTGGTAGATCTTGATCCACTTGGGTATCACATACTTCTTGATGACACATTTAGTCAATGGCCATTTCAGGAACCTAAATTGGAGGTACCTACCATATATAAGGCCTATGTAAGGCCTATGTAAGGCCTATGTAAGGGGATATACCCCCAAAATATGGCCTTATATGGTACAGTACCTCCATTTTAGGATCCTGAAATTCCCATTGAATTAGCTCATGTGGGTTTACCCCCCAATGATGTCAATTATCCAATGACCTGACCGTGGCCCCATGGGATTGAAACGATCGCCATGGCCGTCAGGTATGAATGGGCCGCGCCTATACGAGGCTTTGGAAGTCCTGTCGGAGGCGGATCCATGGCCGAGTAGTGAAGGATGATGTACAGAGAAACACCCATGGGATTTTTCCACTTGGCCAACGGTGAAATATCTGTTAAATGAAAAAAAAAAAGAGTAGCTGGTTGGTGGTTTGGAACCATGGAATTTGATTAGACTTTCCATTCAGTTGGGAATGTCATCATCCCAACTGACGAACTCATATTTTTCAGAGGGGTTGAAACCACCAACCAGCAATGGTACTAACATAAATATGGAAAATCACGATTTTTAATGGGTAAATCCACTATTTTTAATTAGTGAACATCCCCTCGAATATCATGATGACTCGAGGGAACGTCCCGCTGGGGTGCCAATTTCGTTTCGCCAGGAGTGGGTACCTGGAGCGGGAGCGGAAGATATGGCACCATGTGCCCAGAAATATGTTGGATTATCTAGTTCGACCTTTATCTATATATCTATATATCTATATATCTAGGGAGCGATGGAGCTAGGGAGCCGATGGATGTCTAGGGATCTAGGTAGTCTAGTCTAGCGATCTAGGCGCGCGCGCTAGGAGCGCGAGCTAGCGCTGAGCGATGGATGTCCGGAGACGAGCCAGCGAGCAGAGCCAGCGAGGCTGGACGAGCGAGCGAGCGAGAGCGAAAGCGAGGACCAGAGAGCGAGCAGAGCGAGAGAGAGAGAGAGAGGGAGAGAGGGAGAGAGAGAGAGGGAGAGAGGGAGAGAGGGAGAGAGGGAGAGAGAGAGAGAGAGAGAGAGAGAGAGAGAGAGAGAGAGAGAGAGAGAGAGAGAGAGAGAGAGAGAGCGAGAGAGAGAGCGAGAGAGAGAGAGCGAGAGAGAGAGCGAGAGAGAGAGAGCGAGAGAGAGAGCGAGAGAGAGAGAGCGAGAGAGAGAGCGAGCGCGAGCGAGCGCGAGCGAGCGAGAGCGAGCGAGCGCGAGCGAGCGCGAGCGAGCGAGAGCGAGCGAGAGCGAGCGAGAGAGAGAGCGAGCGAGAGAGAGCGAGCGAGAGAGCGAGAGAGCGAGCGAGCCCCGCGCGCGCGCTGACGGGCGAGAGCGAGGCGAGAGAGCGCGAGCGAGCGCGAGCGAGCGAGAGAGAGCGCGAGCGATCGAGAGCGAGCGGAGAGCGAGCGCGAGCGAGCGCGAGCGAGCCGAGCGAGCGAGCTGGAGCTGAGAGGCGAGGGAGAGCGAGCGCGACGATCGCGAGCGAGCGCGAGCGAGCGCGAGCGATCGGCGAGCGAGCGCGAGCGAGCGAGGCGCGAGCGAGCAGGCGAGCGCGAGCGCGAGAGAGTGCGAGCGAGCGCGGAGTGAGCGACCTACCTCTTCTTATCTTATCCTATCCTACCCTATCTATCTATCTATCTATCCTATCCTACCCTATCCTACCCTATCCTACCCTGTCCTACCCTATCCTACCCTATCCTACCCTATCCTACCCTATCCTACCCTATCCTACCCTATCCTCCCGTATCTATCTATCTATCTACCTATCTATCTCATGTATCCGTATATATCCCCCATAACCTTGAAGCTTGCCTGGTTATAAATCAACTTATCTACCGATGGGGGCCATGGGGCGCAATGTGGCGCGGCGCACCAAGGAGTACGCCCAAACAGGTGCCAATGATCACGAGGAGCACGGATTTTGGGGGGGTTGCTCCTCTGGAGGCTGGTTGTAGCCAAATGTTTTCTTCACCATATGAGTATGTGGCTAGTAATCTGATTGATGGTTTTATTTTTTTGGAAACATGTTTCAACCACAATTGGGCATGATGATTTTCTAATGACGAGCATATTTGGAGATGTGTGAAACCACCAATCGGAATAAGAACGGCTTTGGCTGCCGGCTTTCAACTTTAGAAATTCCCTAGGAAAATTCGCAATGACCCAAATCCACTGTACTTGTTCCAAAAATTTTTCCAAGTAGATTGGATCAATGGCCATTTCAGGAACCTAAATTGGAGGTACCTACCATATATAAGGCCTATGTAAGGCCTATGTAAGGAAATATCCCCACAAAATATGGCCTTATATGGTACAGTACCTCCATTTTAGGATCCTGAAATTACCATTGATTGGAAGATGTTTCTCTCCTATTTTGGGGATATCAAAGCATGACATCCCACTCTTGTGACGAAGATCTTCGGCAGATCCCACTTGGGACGATCCAAGCCATCAATATCCACCATCATGGTGAGTCTAACCCTCAAGAATCAACCAGATAGAAACAGTAAATCAATGTAAATCAATCCATAAGTCATTCTATATATATATATATTCTATCTTCTTCATTCTTTTTTTTGGATCACAAAAAAATCCCTAAGGCCCTAAGTCATTACCTGCAGACACCTGCAGCTATGACATAGCTGGGGCACGTCTAAGGGCAGCTTCAGGACGTGGTGGATGGCAATGGCCTGAAGATCGTGCACAGTTCGGCCATCTCCGATTTGAAGGTCGTGGAGCAGGACAGTCCCATCGTCCCGTCAGGGGAGGATCATCCCGTCAACCATCTCCCAAGCGAAACGGCTGGGGTTTAGCATTTTTGGTATCGGATCTCTTCATTTTGGCCCAGTCATGTCATGTGGTATCTATTGAGAAGTGGCTTTTGAAGAGTCAATTTAGGACAGAACACCATGGTCTTCATGCAAAGTGGATTTCCACTTTGAAATGTTTCTTTGCCGGAGAGAGTATGCAGGTGGACAATGGCCAGATTTTTGGGGAAAACAGATCCCTCCAATTTCTAGCAGCGGCTCCAGGAGCTGCTGATCATAGCAAGTTATGCTTTGGACAAAGTGCCAGAGGACATGAAATCGATGGCTCTTTGGCTGGTTTGAGGTTGCGGGCCTGGGGTTCCATCTTAGCTACGTAGATGGGTCATTTTCCCCACCAAAATCATGTGGCTCTATATGATTTTATCATCCCCACCGTTTACGATCCAAAAGATTGCGATCTTACTCAACAGAAAATGATGATAGTGTGTTACCACGACCGTTAGGTCGTGGTACCATATGGCCATATGGAAATTCATCAGAAACTGGAACTAGTTCTTGAAGGCCTGCAGGCGGCGACTTCTCCGGAATTCCGTTGGCCAAATCCCCTCTTTTGCACGTTGAACCTTCATTCTTGTTGATTGAAAGCACTTTGTTGATGCGAAATTCGTGTTTTTTCGGTGATAAAATGTTAGCTCTTCGCATTTCTGTTTCAATCATTCAATCACCTGAATTCGTTCTTTGATTAATAAACCAACATTTTACCCAGTTGCACTGGTGCAATCCCTGTCCGACCTCGAGGTTGACTGTGCTGGTCTCTTGAAGGAGGTTCTTACATGCGAGGCCCAGTCCAAAGTCAACACTTCCTGTGAGAAACGGGGTAGCAAACTCATGATACTGTAAAATCACCACTTGTGGCAATTTTCTTCTTGTTTTTTTCCATCCCTTGGTGTGGTTTCCATTCAAATCTCTCGTTGTTTAGCACTACTTTTATCCCAAAAAATTGGTTTAACGGAAAAATTACAGTAAACCCCCAACTAGGTGGCCGGCAAAACAAATATATATATATATATAAAGTTTTCCTTCAAAGTTCCGTTGGATCTTCAACCGTAGATGTCCCTTGAACCAATCCGTAAATTTCCATGGCCCAGGTGGAGCTGTGTCGTACCAAGTGGAAACTGGTGAAATTGCAGCTCTCAGCTTTCGAACGCGCCTCATTGACCAAGCTTCTTGGCAAAAAATGGTGGGTATGACCCGGTAATCGAAAATGACTGGCTTGGAAATCCCTGATACTTGACAGTTTTCATGGGAAAAAAAGCCCTATGGCATAATGGGCATTGAATGGGACAATCATCGAACTAACTTGGCAGTTTTCCGGCAAGCCATGTTTGATCAGAGGGTAGCGTCCCTGGGATTTCCAGGAAGCCTCGAGCGTTTGGAGATTGCAATCGCACTATGATTGCTTGTCATTTCGGATAAACATCAGTTGATTCAGTTGATTGATGATACCCTCTGGTAATTCAACATAGCTATTGAAAATGACCATTTATAGTGAGTTTTCCCAGCTATAAAATGGTGATTTTCCAATAGCTATGTTAGTTTACCAGAGGGTATGGATGGTTGCTGTGCCAAAAAAAATTGGGTGGGTGGTTGTTAGATGTGTATTTCGGTGGAGCTGATGGACTAATTCGGGGGTTTTTCAACCTCCAATCAGTTGATGGAAAGTTTGTGGATTTTCCCCTCTTGCACACGTGCGCAAGACTGGAAAATTAGATAATAATTGTACCATTTGCACCAAACTAGACACCAGATTTTTTTTAAAAGTTGTATCGTTTTGTGTAGGTTTGTAGCTTTGCCCTACATCAAACATCATCAACCCCAGTGACCGTTTCGCCCAAAAACCAGCACAACGCTTTCGCCCGAAGGTGGGACATCGCGCAACGGATCATGGATGTCTTGGCCCGGCGGCCGTGCCACTGGGTTTTTGAGAAAGAGGTGCGGAAGGGAAGGGATGATCTCAACCCAATGTGGATAAAAAGTATCTGGAAAGCTCAATGGAGGTTTGGTTCGTTAGGACATTGATCCAACTAAATGATGGATAAATCGATTCATAACCACCTATCATGTGGGTAAAACAATGTCATGTTTACCACCCATGACTGGGAATGATAAACATACCACCTATAAAAATGGTGATGACTGGGAGATGGTGCAGATGGCAGTGTTGTATCCACATTGGTAAAATATCCCAGCAACCAAGCTTGAAGATTTGGACCCTAAGCGGAGGTGTATCTTAGTCGGGCGATGTAGAGAAGCATTTGGATCTGGGGGTCATAATATTGAAGCATGAATAGTGGTTACACCATGTTAAATATGACCCCCCGATGGATCCAAATGATAAATGGTTATAAGCTCAATATTGTTATATCCAATGATTATATGATAAAACTCAAATGGGAGTTATCGTTGGGTTTATTCATTTGCGGGACATGCCAACCCACTCCCAATTGGCGTTCATTCTTGGGTTACTAACCTTGTCCAATGATATTCCAGTAGATGTCTCTACTTCAGCTGTTATCCACCTGATGCACCCCCATTGGCTCACCATTGCTGTACCCTCAAACAAGGCTTGCTGGAAAAACAATGCAGCTATTAGGTTGATCATGCCAGCCCCGAATCAACTCTGTCGGTTAATTGGGAGGGGTCCCCAAATAGGGACAGCTTGCCATTAGAATTGGTACCACCCCTATTCACAAACTGGATGTTTACCCGCTGGCAAGTGAACGTAGCTATGGAAAATCATCATTTTCGATAGGTAAATCATCATGTTTATCTATAAACGGGGAACATCTATACTGTAGCTATGTGAAATAGCGGGAGGGTAGCGGGTACTGAGGCTTCGACGTGGCCACAGGCAGCTTCCGGCAAGGCTATGCCGCGCTGATTGCGGCGATGGAGAGCAGAGCTCAACTGCAACAGATGCTGGGGCGGAACTTAGCTGGTAAATTACCATCTGCTTATTCAACATAGCCATGGAAAATCACCATTTTTAATAGGTAAACCTCTATAAATGGGCCATCTATACCATGGCTATGTTAAATAACCAGAGGGTAGCCGGTAAATTAACAGTTCAACCCTGATTTCAACAGCAATTTTGAGTGGAAACTCATCTGCTCCCAACTCATGGCAAGGTCTTAATTCATGGGGATTGAATCATTTGGGTGTGAAATTGGAGGATGCCCAACAATAGTGGTAATGGGGACAGGGGTTACCTTTTTTCAGACAAACCCATTTATACATATAGCAATCAAACAAATCGTATGATCGGGAAATGATGGTTGGTTAGTCATTCACCCATCATTGAAATAGGGATTTTGGTGGTTTAGCCAGTTCTACCCTTCAAACATTGTGAGGATATCATTGATCAGTTTATTAATGATTTGTCATTGCGTTTTTGAACCGTCAAACTTCGTCATTTTCAGAATCTGAATCCATTCGTTGTTTGGGGAAATCGTGGTCAGGTGGGTTTGCAATGGATTCATTAACGGAGATTTCCGGGGAAAACCACGAGGTAACCCATAATGAGGAAAAAAAAGGGTTGAATGGGCAAGGTGGAGCTGGGCAAACATGATGTTGGGATATTTGAGCTACCAAACAGAGGGGCAACACGTAAAGAGAGTAACTTCCAAAATGGTGAATCTATGGGAATTTATTCATACGCAATGGACATATGTTGCCTTCTTGCAGGCTGTCCCATAGCCCTGGGACATTTTCAATTTTGAACCTGATCACAGTCAAGAGATTGGGTTTGTTTCAACTTGGCCTCATGTATCCAATGTATCCTCATCTGCTCCAAAAAAAACAACTCTTCCAGCATTGAAAGCTCTATTTAGTTGGAGGATTTCCCATATTTTCACATGATTTTCTCATTGGTTCACCATTATCCTCCCATTCAAAAATGGTGGATTCACTATATTTTCCCATTGATTCACCATTTACCTATGGTTTCCCATGAATTTTCCCATGAATTTTCCCTTCAAACCTTGGTGGAAAGGACCTTGACAGAGTACCAGCTTCGATCGGAGGCGGTGGATATGGGCATGGAGAGCGATTTTTTTTTGGGGGGAACCATGAAAAATGATGACTTAAGTGACTTAACCATTTGTTTTTTGATGGGCATATCGGCATATCATGGAAAATGAATGAACATGATGATTTCCCTCTGGAAATTTTAACATAGCTATGGAAAATCACCGTTTGTAATAGGTAAATCAACTGTAAATCATCAATCAACGGGCCATAGCTATGTTAAAATTCCTGGTACCAAAAAGATGACCCATCCATAAATGAACGGATGCAAATCAACGAATTTTTATACACAAGCACACACACAGAGAGATATGCACACACACACATATACATATAAATATAAATAAATAAATAAATAAATATATATATATATATATATAATATGTTCACACACACACACATCCCAAGCGTTTCATGAGTCCCTCAACCACCTCTCGTCCAGGAGATGGGCTTACGGAAGTTGAGACGTCAAGCGCAAGTGGCCCTGCGCTGTGGGCGGCGCCTTGCTCGGTGGTCACGGTGTCACGGAGTGCCATGATTCGGTGGCAATTCATCAGCCAAAAACCATGGGATTTTAAGCATTATAGACCTATGGAATACAATAATGATTAAATTATGTATGTATATAAATGTATATAAAAATGGTGATCTAATAGTATAATGTAGGTTGATCTATCAACAATTTGGATTTAACCCCTGACTCATGGTTGAGAATGTTCAACCCTACGGATTTTGAAAGATGGATTTGGGTGTGTCCGAGATTTTAAACAATACCTTCAAGCAATGGTAATTTTAGTGGGGAACGTGATGAACCATAGGATATTGGAGTATCTACCCTATTGTCAGACAAACCCACATGATGGTGACAATCAGGATTCTTTGTAAAATCTCTGAAACACATATGATATATTTAAATAGTCTTTGGAATATCTTGGATTTTATTTTTGAATGTAAATTTCGGATCCTCTTGGGCCGTTTGGGTCGACAAGCCATCGACATTTTTGAACTGGTCCCGTCGTGTGGTCAAATCGTAGGGCTGTTCGATCGAAATTTTTGTTAGAGATCCATAGATATCCTCCATGAAACACTGGATATTATTTGTTTATTAACTAAATATCTCCACATTTGGAGATCAATTTTTTTCTCCATAGATATCAGTTACACTCTGGTAAACCAATATAGCTATGGAAAATCACAATTTTTAAAAGGCAAATCAGCATAAGTCAACTATAAATGGCCATGTTCAATAGCTATGTTAAATTACCAGAAGGTAAACCTCCATTTTCCTATGGTTTTCCTATGGTTTTCCCATTAAAACCTCGATTTTCCTATGGTTTTCCTATGGTTTTCCCATTAAAACCTTCATTTTCCTATGGTTTTCCTATGGTTTTCCTATGGATCTCTGAATTTGGCGATTTTTTTCGTGATTTCCCATGGTTCGGCCGAGGCGCCTGGAGCTGGATCTGGGGCATCAGCGGGAGAGAGCCAGCCGGGAAACCGGCAAGCAACCCACGGAGCTCGCAGGTGGGGGAAGATGTGGTTGAAATATGTTGATTATATTTCTAGAAATGGGATTATTCAAGATGTATATATATATATATAGAAATAGGATTAGTCCATATATATTCAGGATGTTGATTTTATATATGTCCATAGAAATGGGATTCGTGGGATTCGTGGGGATTATAGATGGGATTACAAACGGGATTATTCGGGATATATATATACATATATAGTATGATTATAGCATAACTCACTAGTTGATTGGAGATTATATGGAATACTGGTTGGTGTGGAATGGAATGATTATGTATAGCAACTCCCGAGAAAGACAGGATAGTGGAACCCGGTTGACCCGATATGTTCCAGGTTTCCAGCTTTTCGGCATTTTTTCGGGGGTGGCTATACTGTACCCTCTGGTAATTTAACGTAGCTATTGAAAATTGTCATTTATAGTGGATTTTCCCATTAAACATGGTGATTTTCCATAGCTACGTTAAATTACCAGAGGGTATGTAATTATATGTGTGCACACATTTTTTGGCATCTGGTTTCATATTTTTACAGATGCAATTTTTGTAGAAAGAATATGTATGCATAGATATCCTAAGCACGTCATTGTTTGGCACATAGCAACTGCCAGGTTTTGGTGACCCCCCAAAAAGACAGATCCAATTATGACTATTTAAGTCGGATGTTACTTTTTTTTTGTTTGTCTTTTTTAGGGCATATAGGTCATATAACTATCTCATGATTTTCCGTGGCGTTTCCCTTCCGAATTCCAAGTGGTAGCGCTCCAGGCCCTGAGATGGAGGAAGACCCACAGCTGTGCATTGAAGACATGTTGGCCAATCCCATGGAGGGCCTTCCAGTGGCGTTGACTCATGATGGTTTGCTGGAACGGGCCTCAGTGGGTGGGTGAAGGGTTGACCATGACAGTTGAAAAACTGAGAGGTGACCGGATCAACATTGTGATTTTAAGAAACAAAGAGGACATATAGGGATGCAATTGACCAAGAATTTGCTATGATTTAAGCAACATGCATGCAGATTTGGTGTTTTGCAGTTGGGGTTGGAAGTTTGAAGAAGGGCATTTGTTGTCCAAGTGCCTTGGGCCAGCTCAGTTGAGCACCAACATTGGGGGTGAAGAAACAGTTCTGCAGATAGTGATGCCATCCAGTGAAAAGAAATATGGCGAAAATCCCCAAGTGGCAGGGCAGTGGTGTTGCGGGGCATGATGATCGATTGGCTATGAAAAACCTCGAGATTTCTTGGCCTTGGCCCTGGTTTGCCAAGGACTTTTCCGATTCCTTGGCCTTGGTTTGCCCGCAGCCCAGGGATCTTCCAGCCTGGGTTTTGAAACCCCCGAAGCAGCTGTCACTTGGTGGTTCCTCAAGTTCCTACATTGAAGACATGGGGTAAGTTGGTTGTTATGTCCAGATTGTTGTTGGCTCATTTTGGGGGTAAATCCATGTTTGGACCCACATCCGTTATTCAGTGATGAACCCCTTATTTTGATGCTGAAAAAATGATTGTGAAATCACCATCTCAGACAATATCCACTGCATGTTTCATAGTATATCACTTTGTTTTTTCTCTTTATGGCCGCATTAAGACACCACTATATCGGTGATGGTTTGTCATTTTCAACAGTAAGATTGCCATGAGGTACTGTAAATGAACCATTTTTCAGAGGTTAAATCCACAATTTCTCACCGTTTTTCAGGGTTAAGTACACATTTTCCACCATTTTTCATGGTCAAATCCACAATTTCCCAAATTATCTGCCAATTTTTCTCGGTGAAAACAGTGCCCCACCCATCTCTTGCTGACGAGGCCAGGTGGACGCCCAGGTCAGCAGCTGCGCGGAGCGTCTGGCGGAGCTGGCGCCGGAGCCCTGCTTCCGGCACCGCTGGGACGCTGGGCCGACGTGGGTCGAGGGTGCGGGGGTTTTGGGGTGAGAAAAATGGGAGATTTTTGGCGCAGCAAGGGACCTGGTTTTTGGAGATTCTCTGGGCTTGAGCGTTTTTTTTTTGAGATTGGAGCGAGATTTTGGAAGTTGATCGAGAATTTGGGAGTGTATCAGCAAGAAAGAAGGTAATTTTGGGATGACACATTGGTTTCTAATCATCACACATACTTTTCTTCCTGGGTGATTTCATTTTTTTTTTGGTGTTTTTTGGCCAACAACTAGGGATTTCACCAGGCCAAAATAGTGAGAGTTTACCATCAAACATGGACACCAATTTTTTTCGGTCGATTCTCGCCACCAGAAAGCTGGTGAGTTCTGGTCATCGTAGCAAATGGAAAGTCACCATTGGGAAACATTCGGACTAGACTACCCTCTGGTAAACGTTTACATAACTATAGAAAGATCCACCATTTTCAATGGGTAAATCCACTATCAATGGGCATTTTCAATAGCTATGTTAGTTTACCAGAGGGTAGACCATTCACTTCTACGCCCTTTCTCCCACTTTCCGCCTTCTTCCAGGTCTGCCAATCAAATACAGCCTGATGTTTCGTGGTTGCTAACCACCGTCAACCACAGCAATAGGGGCTTAGGTTACCATTGAGGGGTGCCCTTTATTGCATTTATTGGTTATATAATCATTATAAATTATAACCATCACAATTCACATTCTTAACCATCCTTAACCATTCTCAACCATTCTTCACCCCACTATTAATTATCATCAATCCCCATTGTCTTGTTGGAATTCCCTGATGCCCTCAGGAAGAAGCTTGCTGCAAGCTGATGGCCAAAGAGTGGCAGGACCACGTGGCTCAAGCAGCGGCCGCTTCTCCAGGTAAAGGGGGCCCCAATGGCCCCAACAAATCTGAAGAATCACTTCTGTAAACCAGAAAACAATTCGAAAAGATAGAAAAGTCAAATCCGAAACTAAAAATAGTACTGAACTGAGCTACTTTTCGTTTTCTTTTTTTTTGGGGGTTGCTATAAAACTCATCCAAGATGTAGTTGACCAGGCTTCTCCGTCGTAAAAAGATGACCCAATCTCTGTATTTTCAATGGAGAGGTGCAGAACGGTTGAGGATTCAGTTCCTGCGAAAAGCTTTGGATCATAAATATCCAGCATACTGCTCCGTTTTCCCCTTTGCTAATTTTCATTCACTCCCTGTGCTGAGCGTAAGCGCAGCTGGTATATATATACACACATACACACACAGACAGACAGAGACAGACAGACAGACAGACAGGCAGGCAGACAGACAGACAGACATACATACACATACATACATTACATTACATTACATCACATTACATTACATTACATTACATTACATTGATACATTACATTACATTACATTACATTAATACATTACATTACATTACATTACATTACATTACATTAATACATGCATGCATGCATGCATACATGCATGCATGCATACATACATGCATACATACATGCATGCATGCATACATACATACATACATACATACATACATACATAATCATACATACATACATACATAATCATACATAATCATACACAATCATACATAATCATGCATACATGCATGCATGCATACATAATCATACATTACCATATATAATCATACATAATCATACATAATCATACATAACCATACATAACCATACGTAATCATACATAATCATACATAATCATACATAACCATACATAAACATACATAATCATACATAATCATTCTTATTCATACACAATCATTCATAATCCTTTTTAACTATTCATAGTCATTCATAATCATTCATAATCATACATAGTCATACATAGTCATACATAGTCATACATAATCATACATAATCATGCATAATCATACACAATCATACATAATCACACATAACCACACGTAATCTCACATCATCATACATAACCATACATAACCATACATAATCATACATAATCATACATAATCATACCTAATCATTCATAATCATACATAATCATACATACTCATACATAGTCATACATAGTCATACATAATCATACATAATCACACATAATCATACATAATCATACATAATCATACATAATCATTCATAATCATACATAATCAGACGTAACCATACATAATCATACATAATCATACATAATCATACATAATCATACATAATCATACATAATCATACATAACCTTACATAATCTTACATAATCTTACATAATCATACACAATCATTCTTATTTATACATAATCATACATAATCATTCATAGTCATACATAATCATACATAATCATACATAATCATACATAATCACACATAGCCATACATAACCATACATAATCTTACATAATCATACATAATCATACATAATCATTCATAACCATACATAATCATACATAATCATACACAATCATACATATTCATTCATAATCATTTGTAATCATACATACATACATGCATGCATGCATGCATACATGCATACATACATACATGCATACATACATACATGCCTGCATGCATACATACATACATGCATGCATACATACATACATGCATACATACATACATGCCTGCATGCATACATACATACATGCATGCATACATACATACATGCATACATACATACATGCCTGCATGCATGCATGCATGCAGACATGCATACATACATACATGCATACATACATATATACATACATACATACATACATGCATACATACATACATGCCTGCATGCATGCATGCAGACATGCATACATACATACATGCATACATACATACATACAGACAAACAGACAGACAGACAGACAGACAGACAGACAGACAGATATACATAGGTATATATATATACACATATGCATACATATATTTATATATACACATTCATATGTTCATATTTGATACTTCAGCCCATCACACCATGACCCCGTGGTCGCAGCAGTCGCTGGAGGCATCTCCTCCAGCATCGGCATCCGCGGGCTCAGCGACGAGGCTCGAGGATCCAACGTCTTTTGGGGCGACCAGGCGGAGGATCCCAACTGGCTACTGCTGCAAGCCGAACAGGTGGGGATGGTGGGGATGGGATGGAGGGTATATTGTATTGTGTTTGTGTGGGGAAGATTGATTAAAACATGGTAATGATGCAGGAATGATGGCAAAAGATGAAGATGATGAAGTTGTTGATATTTGGATGGAGTGGTTCAGTTGGAAGGTGTGAGGTTCATTTCTGACATGCAATGGCATAGGTTTCCAGATGTATTTTTTCCCCTTACAATGCTGCTGGCAGGTGATTCTCAAGTGGCAATCGGAGGATTCGGAAGGCGGGCGGCGCGCGTTGGGTGTGATGTGTGGTCCGCACACCAGTGGAAAGAATTCAATTGATATGAGGGCTCAACCTACTTCCAATTCCTTATGAATATCTCCAAAGATTGGCAATGTCACCTCAAAAAGTCTCTCACAGAGTCAACCTTCTGTTTCATTTGCTTCTTCAAAAGCTTTCTTTTCAAAGGCCAGACACGTCCTGTGACTTTCTGCTCCAGGAGCCCCGGGGCCCTGCAGATTGAAAGATCCGGAGTTGGCGTGGGCGCCCTTCAACGAAGCAGTTCTGAGGCGCTCTTCGGGGGACCAGACCATCGGGAGACACACGGCTGCTGACAGTCTGATATGGGGATGAAGAGATATGCAGAGCAGAAAGAGGTGTAGATTTAGATGGACCAATCAATTTGCCATTGAAGAAATCAATATTTCCGGTGGGAAAATACATGAAAATACGGTAGAGATAGGCTATTGTCCAGATATGTCCAGATGAATCCGCAGGTTGAGCTGTCGCCTGTTGGACCAGGCGGGGATCATTGGGGTCTCGGGGTGGTATGTGGCTGTGGCTTTATGGGGCAAAGCGGCATTTTTGGTAACCCATTGTAACCCCCAAATAGATACCGTCGATTTGGGTAAAATCCAATTGAAAGCGGGATAGAATATGATAGAATACTTGTCTATTTTTGGGGGGGTGCTATGCCCCCAATGGCAATTTGAGTGGTGAACATGATAATACATAAATTTGATACACCCTCAGATGCGGGGACCAGCTGCCAGCCTCAACCGAAGCCGTTTCGATTGAGAGTTCCCAACAACAAACAGCAAGCACCCCAACGACAGACAAGTCATTTCCCCAACCCCCAACCACAAGGTCTCATGGTTGAGGTTGCATTTGATGGACTTGATTGCCAGAAATTTCCAGAAAGTGGAAGATCTGCAGCAGTGCATGGTGCGGTCCGGTCCCAGACTGTTCAGGTGCAGCGGGGGTGATGGATTGGCGTGGGGCTTTGCATTTTTAGAGGTTTACCTCAGGTACTAGTACCCAAAAAGTTATGCAATGAGAAAATCATCCAGAACTGGATGCAAATGGGAAAATTCATGCTGATTACCGGGGGCATCCTTGGCAAGCTTTTTGGCTCGTTTGCGTCCACAAATTTCATCCCCTGTGACAACGACCAACAGTGGTCTATGATAAGTCTGAAGTGACTGCACCTGGGCTTGCAGCCGGAGGGTTAAGAGTAAAAACCCTCGTTCCTGAGTCAAAAAGCAAGAGGAAAAAACATGGGCAACCAGTCCTATTCAAGTTGGGGTCCATTGATTTAGGTGTTCCGCCTTGGAGCAGCTAAAAGACCCATACATCGTGATCACTCCGCAGTTCCACAGTCCTCAAGGCCACAGACTTATAAAAAATGCTTACCATTTCCAGTTGCCACCACCTTTTCCACCTAAACGTCTCTTTAGACCAGTCTTCATCAGTCAATCAGTTTCAGTTTCCATCAGTTTCCCAACTTCAGCTGTTCACATTCCCCAAACCTTTAAAAAAAGGAAAAAAAGCCGCCATGGACTGGGCCATTTCCTTGGCATCGCCCAGTGCCCCGCCCTCCTTTGCGCCCCGGCCTTCGGCGCCGCGCCTAGCCGCGCCTGTGGCGCCCGTTTCGGCGCGACGGCGCAGCGCTTGCTGCGCGGGCGGGCTGCTGGTGGCCGCGGCATGCCGGCGAGAACGCCGAGACCGGGTGGCGAGGAGAGCAGATGTGAAAATCACCGATGCCACCGGTGAGAAGAGGGTGCCTGGGGAAAAGGGGGAAAAACTGCATGTAGTGGAGCGCATTATTCTTTACATATTGATTCTGGATGATCCCTACTCCTTAAGCCAGTTATTTTCTAACAACGTCCCTAGATATGGACGCATATGAGGCCCTAAGATTTCACTGATCCAGTATGAACCAAGATTTCTGGTCTGTGTGGCTTTGTCATTGTGTGGAAGGTATTATGGGAAGATATGTCATGATGGATGCATGTCATTAGATATAAGGGATTTTCCACCGAGAAGTACATGGGCCAAGGCAGATGTTTGAACATCTACTTGCCACATTGGGGTGACACACCAAATCAGGGGCATCGATCAGTGGGAAAAGAGCCATGATTTCTTGTTGGTTTTGTTCGGTCATGTGGATCCCACGACATCGAAACATGAACAGGCTAGTCCACGTTGGGATGTTCACCTTCTCTTTGCTTGGGATGTTTCTACATTGTCATTTTCCCACTGTTTTGACCCCATGTACTTTGGTGTGCGCACTAGCCGTTTTCCTCAGGGGTGGTAGAACACCAAAGCAGACTCGCAACAAGTTGGGTTGAAGTTGAAGACATGTATTTCCCCATATTTCCCCACTGATTTAATGGTGTTTTACGGGTATCTACCAATGTTGTTAAGGTTTTCATGCTGGATTTCTGGTATCCGGAGAAGCTCGACCAAGGTGGAGGACTTCTGCAAGAAGGGCGCCAGAGTGGAGGTGTTGGCCCCATCCAACCGCTGGCGCGAAGCGCAAGTGGTGCGCGTGGGTGGCGGTGTGGCACGGATCCACTACACGGGCTACGACGCGCAGTTTGACGAGGAGGTACCCCTGGACAACCAGCGGCTGCGACCTTTTGGGCAGATCCGTAGTGAGAAATTGAAAGAACGGAAGGAGAATTTCGTGTTGCAAATGGATGCTGGTTGTTGCCCTGGCTGTGGTGTGAAGCTACAGTGTACCGACAAGATGGCTCTGGGTCAAGCTTGGCTGTGCCAAATATGAGCAGTGGCCAAAACCAGTGGATTACAGGAACCCTTTACGTTTCAGAGGGATTAAGAGGGATCCAACCCATGCACATGCATACTTATTTATCCACACGAGGTTTTGGCAACTGCTCAAAGACAGATTTTCTATTTCTCCTTTTAGCGTCGGGTTGGGCACCGCATGGTCCTGGCAGCCCCGTCCCTGCTTGAGATTTGGAGATGGATAATTTCACCCTGGAACCCTTGCCTGCAGGGAAAGCTTGCATGGGGTACTTTAGCACTTTACTCTTTTTCAAGAAGTTATATATTTGGACAGGGTATCTGAGATTGGCGATGTTCTGGATTCTTGTCGACGCACAAGAATCAACAGAGTTGGTGCTGTTTGTGATGTATTTGCCAATTTCTTGGGGTGAGTCTTGCCCACATTGCCCAGATGTGCACCCAATTCAAGCACGCCATGATACGCCATGCAGGACTGCAGGACTGTAGATGCTTCAATCCCCTCGGACTGAAAGATCTAGGTCCGCTGGTTGGCAGCTGATTCATTGACTCCCTCCTGAAACCAAACCAGTTGAAGACACTTTTTTCGCTTGGACAATTTGATTTTCCCCGGGGAAAAGGTGGGGCCTCGCTCTCAGGCTATGTGCCGCCCGACAAGTTCGTGAAGCAGGAGGAGGAAGACCTCTCCATGCCGCTGAACGCGGAAGATGAAGTGGCGCTACTGCTGAAAGAGGTGCAGCTGGGAAGCTGTTTTTGTTTTTGCTGGTGATATCCTCCTTATACAATGCTGTATAGTACACACCAACCGCGCTACCGCGCTTGGTGACATCGGCATTTTCCTTCACATTCCAAGCTGCCATCCAGGATGGGGCGCAGGAACGTGATAGCTTTTCATTGCCCACCAGGCGGTTGGGAACTGCAGAAAGAGGGGTTCGATGTCGAACTGTTGGGGAGTTTGGCGATTTGAAATCGAATATAATGTAACTATAAATTTAAATATAACAGTTGTAACATTTTCCAAGTGTGTTACTGGCGTTTTCGACGCCAGTTGTTAATATTTCGCTGGCACGGCACGTTTTCAGAAAGCTCTGCCCTCTGCCCCAGGTCGGATCAGAAGTTCTTCAAGGTGATCGCCAACGTCTACCTGGACATCCGCAAGGCTCCAGACGTGAACGCTGAACGCACCGGGGAGAGCTTGGTCTTTGGTACCTTGGACGGCCCAACTGGGGCGGAGTCTTTTTGGAGCCGTGTCAAGTCCAAGTGGGAGTTTTCTTGGCAAATCGTCATGGTATGTACCTGGATTATATTATGGATTTGTATGTGTGAATACGCATCTAGAATGTATTACAGTAATGTGTAATGTATAAATATGTTTGTTCTGACATATGGTGGCCTGCCATATTCTTTCAGCACCTCTTGGACATGTTTCATTTTTTGCTGCTAGATTGGTTCGGGCTACCTGAGGCCAGCAATTTCAAATCGATGAAGTCTATCGAAGTGCAGATTCCAGGAACTACTTTCGGCTCGCGGATGGCCGTGGCAACATGGTGAAAATTCAGCCAACAAGCGGATGATCTGCATCTAAATCAATTACAAGTGGCCTGATAATGATCATGTTTCACTGGTAGATAATCCTATGTAGGGATAGTCTTTGATATTCATAGAAACCATTACCCTGGTGTAGCAGAGTCCCTGCAACTGAGGTTGGGTCTTCGATCGTAGCGTAGTGAAGGGTGCCATGACCCAATTGGTAGCCCCTGTGGGTGATGATCTCGGGCAGTTGAAGAGGGCGGGGAAGGAAGCACGGCCGAGTGTGTGTATCTCAGCTGCAGATTGATGGCATACCGTTGAGCTTCAGCTCCACTAAACAGCATACCAAAAGCATATTCTCTGTATTTCTTTGTGGCATTTTGTAAGTTACTTTGTGGTAAACTAACATAGCTATGGAAAATTGCCCATTTAAAGTTGGTTTAAACCTATGAACATATTAGCATAGCTTAAATTACCAAAGGGTAAGGGAAGCACCGAAGCACCGCCTGAATCCAGCCATCCCAGGCATGCGCTGCTGGGGCCTGTGGCACTACAACGACTGCGACGACGTCTTGCGCCCCGCCTACGGCGGCGCCGGGGCCGGGGCGTCGGCTGGCAGCTCGGCGCAGGAGCTGACGGCCGAGGCGTTCGAAACGCTGCTGAGTGACACCTTGCGACCGGCGCAGGAGGGGATTCCAATGGATTCCATGTGAGCAGCAAAGAAAAAGGAGATGATCACCGTAACCCCAAAGAAACACGTTTTTTTCGGGGCTTTCTATGGATATTATGGATATGTATGGATAATATGAGGATTTCTGCTGGAATTGAAGGGCCGGATCCGTTTGAATACTCGCACTCGTGAAGTCATTTTCTTGTGGTTTCGTTGGTGCATGTTGGCATAAAGCAGACTCCCCCCCTTGCAGAACAATTTGGTTTGGAATCCCATCAAGCTAGAAAGATCAGCATACAACTCGCAAACTTTAACCAACAAAAAATGGAAAGAAGTCAGCGACATGAATGGTGGTTCGGCCTTTTAGACCTTGAGAAGGTGGGAGTTTCACCTGCGAAATCGGGATGTGATCTGGAGCTGGGACTATTCAATCACTTACAGTATATTGGGGGAGCGGTTTTGTATCATGTAGCCCGTGACACAACTAGGATTCCCCGCCCACTTGTGACCTATCTCTTCACCTGGCCCGTTCTGTGGCTAGGTCTTGCCAAAGGTGAGGGGGCAAACCATTGACTGACCTTATCATACTTGTAGGATTGTGAGCTTGGAAGTCGCTGCCTATTTTCCTCTACCCTTCCCCCAGTTCTTTGGTTTCCTTGGATGTTCTGTGAGCTTGGCGAAGTGGTACAACTGGTTTCTGACTCCAAGATTTCCAGCGGATTTTCGGGGTTGAGGACTAGCAAGGGGGCCAACTTGGGAACATCCAAGAGAAAACTGCAGGAGGCGACCATTTTTGCCGTGGTGGACGTCTTTGATTTCGGGCCATCCTTCAAACTCTTGCAATACCTCGCGCAGGACAGGTGTGTTACGGGGGGAACCAGGTGCAGGATACTCCACCTCTTGGTTTGCCTACTTGAATGGACCATAATGGACTAGTCTACTGGAGGTTGGGAATCCCTCATCTTAGAACTGAAGATGTGGAGGAACTGAAGATGGCCCTGAGATCCCTTTCGTCGCACCTTTTTCCAGGAGCTGGTGAAGAAGCCCAAGATTCGGGTCCGCATCATCGCCAACAAGATCGACTTGCTGCCGAAAGATGCCAGCATGCCTAGGGTGAAGGGCTGGATTGCCAGAGAAGCACAGCTGGCAGGGTTGGACAAGATCAAAATCATGGATGTCTTTCCCATCTCCTGTGGCCTGGCTGGTTGTTGCAGTCGTACTATTTGGGCAGTGTTGAGAACCATGGCGGAAATCGGGTATGATGGATGACATGGATGATCCCCAATAAATGTAAGCATACGGCGTTTCTCACTCAACCACCATCGTCCGAATTTCCAGTGGGAGTTGCCCACTACCGGTGACGTGTTTTCCCTGGGGTTATTTCTGTGATCCCAGGCAACCCAAACCACCAGGTTTGCCCGTGGTTGATGTGTAAGTTTGTCCAAACATGGGCTAACATGGGGTGCTGAAAATCCAGAAAATCGCATCATCGTTTCATGGGGCAAAAGTGAGGGAAACCAACCACTCGGACACTGGGATTTTCCATGGCTTAGGCCGCTAAGCCATGTTTTATGGACCAACCATGAGCCGAGAGGGTGGATTGGGCCATTCCCCCAGGTCACCAGGGCAAGGGCTTGAAACCGGTCTCTGACTTGTTGGAAACCAAAGGTATTCCTGAGGACCGTGCTGTGGGCACTGTGGGATGCGGATGGTGTGCCACACTGGCAGATAGGCATAGATATACTTAGATATGCTGTACTTAGATATTTGATGCAGAGAAATGGATTTGAATTTACGCAGTTTTTGGAGTTGTATGTAGATATTGTCGATCTTGCCAGTCCATGGCTAAGTCATGCAGTAAAAGTCACGTGCGATCGTCTTGAATTTGAGAGTCTGGGCTGCATGATGTCCGTTGAGATGCATCCCTTATTGCTTTCTTCCTGGATTCCTGGGTCATATCATGTGATAGCATCTAATTTCTATATCTATCTCTGCCTCTTTCTCTATCTCTAGCTCTATCTCTCCATCTATCTATCTATTTATCCATCTATCTATCCAAGTTTAGATGGCTTAAGCTCGAGGACCACTACGTGGTTGGAGCCGCCAACGCTGGAAAGTCCTCCTTTTTGAACCGCCTGACTCTGCGAAAACGACGTGGTGTTGGGCGGGTCTTGTCCGAGGACAGGGGTTGATGCTCCGTTGTCCCGGCGTAGCAAGTCTATAGTACTGGTAGTTCTTCTAGAAACAAAAACATGGTACATGATTTACATTCACGTGTTACATTTTTTGAACATCATATAACAGTAATATATGTATATATTGTAGTACATACATATATATCTATATACATGTTTATTTTTAATTATATATATATGTAGTGCACATGTCCATAATCTCCTCCAACAACAGGCACCATGTACGCCATCGACCCGTCCCTGGTGAGGACCAATCGGGCTTCGTGGTCTCCGTTTTGCCGGGAACCACCTTGAGACCCATCGCCATGAAGTTTCAGCAGCTTGGAGCAGCAATGGGCAGATCACCACGCCCCGTTAAGGGAATGATATGGGTGTGTCTGAAAATAGTGTACCCCATTTTCCCAATGGTTTTGCTGATCATTATCTATCCCTATTAAATGGCTATTTCATTGGGAATATACCCTATTTTCAGACAAACCCATATAGCAACATACAAAGATAGACTATCTACAGACCATGTAGATAATTGGATGAGATTAGATGTAATTTTTTGGATGTTGACATTGTAGCACAACACCATCCATCCATCCATCCATCCATCCATCCAACTAAACTGTACTATACTATAATTACTATACTACACTATGCTGCACTATACTGACACTTTACATTATATACATTACATTATATGACATTGCATTACATTACATAAATAAATGCTAAGAGCCTACCACAAACCTCGAGCATTTGCCGTTAGTTGCCAGTTGGTCATCCTTCTCTTGGGTTGGACCCTTGAGAGCTGAGATTGTGTCAGAGCCTCCGATTTCTTTCCACCTGATATGACCATAATTGATCATCGATTTTGTTGATCATGATGGTTGATAATAGGATAATGTGGGTAAATGATGGTTAATACCACAAAGCTACACGCCCCTCTAACCTCTAAGATGCCAACAAATAGTGATAGTGTCTGATTGTGCCAATGAAAACTGTCATCAAAACTCTCATCATCTCGCATCCGCCTATTTCCGCCGATTTCTGACATGAGGCAAACCAACATCAAACTGATTGATATGCCGGGGTTGCTGGTCCCTGGCAGCATTGCCGAAAAACTCACCTTGGAAGACCTCAAGGAGCAGTGGGGAAGGGTGCCAATAGCTGTGAAGATGGTGAAGCTACAGTGGATACAGTTGCTGAATCTGACGGGACTTGCTACTGGAAACTTGAATCTTCGCAGGGTAACAAGTCCCCCAATGTCAGACTTGTTTTTTGTTTGATTGGCTTCTGAGAGATGTTTCTGCAGGAGATCATTCCGCAGAAGCGAGGCTGGGCTAAGGGCTTTCAACCGACAGGAGCTGTGGGCTCTGAATTTGGCTCTGGGTCACAAATGATGCTTGATATATTTTCTTTCGACAAAAAGTGGTGTCATGTTTTTTTTCTTCAACCCGATTTTTTGGGGATGATCCCAACTAACGTTTGGCAGATTAGCCTTGATGTCGCAAGGCTCGGTTCGCCTCACCTTCCACATGGATGAGGGAAGAAGCCTCCTTCTGGGTGCGCTCGCGCGCTTGGACTTTGTGTCGGGCAGGCGGGGCAGGTGTCATGGTCCGCAGGATGCCCTGCGGTCATCCAACATGGCTGGGAAGCTCCTTTTTTTGGGGGAAAATCATGGAACTGCTGGGGGATTTTCCAGCTGTGTTTCACTGAGGGCATGAGAGGCACTTCCTCTCCTGTTACCGACAAAATGATCACCATCCCATGGGTCCCTGGGTCCCATGGTCCCTCGTCGCCAGGCCGTACCAGTTCACCGTCTTCGTCTCCGAAAACGTGAAGCTGCACCGCACGCGCATCGAAAAGGCTTCACGCATCTGCCTCCTGACAGTATTGACTGGTGGAGAATCATCTGCTGCGATGTTTTCGTTGGTTAAAGAAAACCGACACAGGGGGTCGCAACATTCCATTGGCCTTTTTTTTAAGGAACTTATATAACCATCTCATTTCAGGGATACCAATTTTGAGCCAAATTTTTGATTTGATGGTTTATTTAATTTAAGGGATAGTAATGTGAGTCAGAGCGCCCCAGTTCGAAGTGGGGTAAGTAGGATTGTGTAGTCCAGTTAGAACTGGACTGAACATGACTGAACTATCCACTTACTAACTGGGATAAACCACCAAGTGTGGAACTCTCCAAGAAGTTGGCATATTCGGGGGGAGTGATTTGGGCATGTTTAATACTGGTTGATGAATTGTCAACCAATGATGACTTTTGACAAATTGTGGATATGGGAATGGGTCAATACCTCTTATATTATACTGAATGTCATATTATCCATAAATCCCAGGTATTTTGATGTGAACAGGGTTAAACCGGGTTTGGCCCCGTAGCATGTAGTCGGGACTCGCTCAGGTCAAGAGTGGGCCGGTGACAAGCTGAAGCCGCCTGTGGACGCCCGACGCTACCAGGAGTTGCTGCCCTGGAAATCCACTCGTTTCGAGCTGACAGGTGGGGGAAAAACCGGGCTTGTGAGCTCAGGGACCAATGCCCAGCCAGTATCAGTATGTATGTATAATTATGTATATATATATAATATATATATATGTGTGTGTATAAAATTGTATAAATATATTATAAACATTTGGTTGCCCCCCAGTCACTAACTGGCTCATGGGCCGACTACTAGGCCACTAGCTCCGGCACAGGCACCGGCTGGGACGAGTCCTGCGTCGACATCGTCTTCCCCGGGTTGGGCTGGGTGGCCATCACTGGCTGCAGGGACTGCGTTGTCGAGGCGCACGCGCCCGAAGGAGTGGAGGTCACTCAGCGGGAGCCGCTGATGCCGTACGAGGCGAAATGGACTGGGGTGAAGTATCGCGGCTTCCCCGGCTGGCACCTGGGCTATTGGTAAAGCCCTATTTTGTTGGCATGGTGTTTTTTTTTTAAATACGAAAATGGGTGAATTGGGTGAATGGGGGTATGGTTTCTCATTGGGTTCGCCACATTAGCAGCCATGCATTTATTTTTGGTGGTTGTGAATGTGAGTTGTGGAGTCTGACATGGGAAAGATGGCAATAAACAAGTAAATACCACTTGGATGAGGAACATCATCTACGAACGGTGGGTTTTTCTCTTGGTGGGATTTTCTGTTGCCATGTATGTTTGCTGCAGAGCATGTCTTTGACTGAGTTTCAACCCCCTGCAACTGAACAAGTTTTCCCAACAGGCTGATTTCAGGGGTATTGAGTAGCCACAAGCATGGAAGGGGAGGGTGAGCAACCGACACAACTATCACAGTTGGGGAGGGGCCGTCATGGGCACTGATGCAATGACGACTGCGAGGAAGCCTAAGGTGGCGCGGACGTTGATTTTCCTTGATGTCATTGAACAAAGGATATAAGGTCGTTAGCATCCCCTTGGATGTAGAGCATACCCTGGCAGACATTCTTCTGGGGGGTATATCATCAACCGCAAGCGCATGATCCGAGGTACAAAATCAAGGGCCGATCTACACGTGGATTCGAATCTGGAAAGAAACGATACAACATCAAAGGTCGCTTTTGAAACGCATGGTCCTTGTCTCAGACAGCTGTATGTGGACGATGGCCGAGAGGAAAAACTGTGCGCTTTGAATCCTGACACCGGAGATTGTGATCAAGAAAAAAGCACCAATACAAACATTGTGCGGTGAAAGTTGTAGAGGGGGTTCAACTAATTCACCGAACAAAAGAGAATAAAACGGGCTTTTTCGGCTCCTTTGAAGAGTTTTGATAGTTGCAAGAAACACCAGCCCAAGCAGGTCTCAACTTGTAAGATGTCTTGGATGTTGGAGTGGATGGTTCATACTGCAAGACGCGAACCTGCTCCAACAGGATTCAGGCCACTACGAATAGATCTATGGGTGGTCACCCACCCGGATAGTGAGACACACAATTTCAAAAAAAACGTCAGAGAGAGGGAGAGAGGGAGAGAGAGGGGGAGACTACGTGACTACGTTAGTACGGTCACAATCTCTGAATCCATACATTCTGGGTCCTCCCATGTTTTTCACGCATCGAGTGACACCTCTGCAAGCCTTTCGCAACGCAGGTGGGTCTGGCGCACTTTCCTGATGTCCGTCACAACGCAGAGAGGACGCGCGGGGCGCCGCAGGGCAGCTGCTGCGTGGGAACCAAGGAGCTAAGACTTTCCCACCCACATGAGATAATGTTTTTCGGCATTTTCTGTCCAACAATGATTAGAATGCCACCGCAGATGTAGAATGTCCATCAACTATCAATGTCCCATTTCTAGAACTTGCTCCAAAAATGCATTTGGGCCTGCCAAACCCCGGAAGATACCACAGAACATGTCGCAAGATTTGGGAAGCTGTTGGTTTCCCCCATTTTTCACAGGCGATTTCAAGCCGATTTCCCATGTTTTTGTGGGACAACACGGCCCCGGCTCCAGCGATTTTTTGGCCATTGCCACCATCGCGCCCCGGTTTTGGGAGCCGCAATGGCTTCAGTGGACGATGTGCCACGGGATTTGGAGGGCTCCTTCTTGGCCAAGAAGGCCGATGTTTGTGGCGTATTTTTTTTCTCGGCCCGTTCAAATTGAGGTTGTTTAAAGATGTTTAAACATCTTGTCACATTTTCCTGAAAGCTCTTCAAAACTAGGCTAGGCCTTGGAAAGCTTGGAAGCTTCAGAGTGGTAGAAGATCCACTTCAGACCCTGCAGCCAGCACCAGGAGTGGCAATATCCAGTGGAGGATAGGTCTGGATGGCTGCCAGCGAATGCACAGGAGTTGGCAGACAACCACCCCTGGACACGCCGCGCGGTTGAGAAGAACCCTCGTTTTCCAGGCGTTATGGGGGGCACAGATGAAAGAAACATTTTGAATCATTTTGACAGTTTATGAGTTCCATGGTAGATTCAGAGGAAAAACATACCCTCTGGTAAACTAACATAACTATGGAAAAACACAATTTTCAATGGGAAAATCCACTCTATAAATGGCAATTTTCAATAGCTATGTTAAATTACCAGAGGGTAGAGAAAAACAGTAACTTCCACCACTGTTGAATCTGTTCATCTCGCCTTCATCCTGAACGTCCCGACGTCCCGGCCAGGCTACGTGCCGCCCGAGGCGTTGTTCTGCTGGACGGAGCCAGACTTTGCGAGCTACATCAACAGTGGTGGTTTCGTCAAGCCCAAGCTGAGACACTCGTGCTGATGGATGGTGGTACCTGGTGGTGCCCAGCTGGGCTTGGCTGAGGGCCAAAATGACCATGAATGGGTCTGAGAGGGTGAGAAAAAGTGAAGACCAAATTTCTGCCTGTCGTTTTGTAGCATCAACTGGGTCTGGTTCGTACACAAAAAAGTCCTTCCAGTTTCATCAAACTCCGGGCTCCACCTTCAACTTCAGTAGCAGCTCCCCAATTTTCCTCCTGTGAAGGGTGCCTCTTGTCACTAAATCTACCAACCTCCGGAGGCTCCCTCTGCCCCATAGGTTTTGGAGCAATGGCCCAGGGTTTCAGGCTTCGAAGGCCCAAGACGTGACGGCCACTGCCCAGGATGTCAATACTACATTTCCCCAGAGAATCCACAGACCATCGTGGACTTGTTGGAACCTGTCCTTAGCGATCCTCGTCAGGGCAGGATTGGGGATTGTTGTTCGCATTGATATTCCTGTATATATATATATATACATTATTCCCAGTATGATATTATTGCCGTTGGATTATGCTTATTATTGTCGTTGTCATTTTTGTCTTATGGATTATTATTACTATCACGACATTATTATTGTTATTATTTTTGTTAGTTATTATCCTTACTACTATTATTGTTATTCTATGTTATTCTTATTTCTATTATTACTATTGTTATTGTTACTGTATTATTATTATAGTTGGGTATTCCGTATTGCTATTCGTTATGCGTTAATTTTTATGTAGCGTATATATATATACACACAATATAGTGGCATTTTACTACTTTTGCAGTCTGGCTATATATTTGTTCTCTTCTTACTCTTATAGCCATTGTTACTTTGATTCTTACTATTGCTATTGCATGCTATTGCTATCATTATTGCTACATTACTGGTTGCTATTCTTCTTAGTAGTAGGGCGGAATTTACATACATATTTGGCACCATACAGGCGGGTGTTTCATGAAGGATGGGAAGCAATCGGCCTGTCCATGGGCACCTGCCATCCCCGAGGAACTGAATTGGACCTGCACCGTTGACTCCAAGACGGGGCGTGAGGAGTCCTTGTCCCAGGTCACAGATTACATGGGTGGCTTGGACATCGACGTACCCAGCATCCAGCTGGTGTTTCTGATTGGTTGTTTTTTTTCAATGGGCATTTCAGGTACCTAAATCGGTGGTACCTATATTCAATGGCCATCTCAGGAACCTAAATTGGAGGTACCTACCATATATAAGGCCTATTTTTCAGGCCTATGTAAGGGGATATAGTCCCCAAAATATGTCTTTTATATGGTACAGTAGCTCCAATTGACCTGAAATGGCCATTGCGTTCGCCAAAAAGATGAGGATTTGACCAACAACGTGGCTTCAATGATCCAACATGGCAGTTTTAGCATCAAAAAATAGCGAATTCTGAGGCAAAACTGTGGGAAACATTGGGTATAGAAGCCACATTTAACTGCTTGGTGCCTTCTGATTTTCCATTTTCCCATATCATTCGTGGGTTGATGACGAGTATGACGACGACTTAGCGAAGATCCCGATTCAGTGGATCCCCACCGCCGATTTTCAATAGGCAAATCATCTACAAACGGTTCATTTTTTCAGAGCTGCTATAGCTATGTTAGTTTATTGAAGGGTGCCATCCTGGATGCCTTCAATGGCTCGAAACCATTGCTCCCTACCACTTGGAAGTGACCCAGGTATGCCAGTGCCGACGCTGAAGAAGCAGGCCGATGGCTCCTTAGAAGTGGTGAAGCCACGGGAAGACATCGCACCCATCTTCATCTGGGAATCCAGCAGGTGGGCGGACCACCAAACTGGGGAACTTGCACTTTGCGAAAATGATGGGCCCATGGAGTTTTTTCCTTGATGATTTCCACAAAAAACAAACACAAGCTGATTTTCCAGTTCGCAAAGTGTGAAATTGCCACAGGGTATCCAGGAAAATTTCGTTGAACACTGCTGGGAAAAACCCCAGTCCCACTCTTTGGTGGGGGCTAAAATCCACTGGTAGTAGGGTAAGGGTCGGAAAAAACATCTCCAGATTCAATCAACGAAGGTTCCCTGTGCGCAGCGATTTGTCGTTAGGAATTGGTTAGGGCCGGGATGTGATTGGGTTAGACTGAGTTAGACTCCATTAAGAATCAGTGTTCAATCCCTTGATATTGCATGAAAATAGCTTATTTTGGATTAAAATGAAGACCTTGGTGAGAGATCATCAGATTCAATCAGATGGATTGGCGTCCTGGCTTGCTGCCTTGGAAGTCAGCAATCAAGTCAAATTGGATGTATATATATATATATATATATCTACATCTATATAATAGATCTATATTTGTATCTGTATCTGTATCTATATATATATATATATCTATATCTGTATCTATATCTATTTAATATAATGACCGATTTGCAACACACTAACAATGTTATCGCATGCCAAACTTTCAGGTGCTGCAACTGGTCAACCATCGGCTCGCGCGCAGGAACATGATCGATCACGCGCCCACCTTGAAGTTTCGCGGCTTGGTGAACCGCCTGAGTGGAGTGCACCACTTTACCAAGGCGCGCCGCGCTAGAACGCGGAACTGGGAGGGTAGGGCAGCTGACCCAACATGGGGGGAAGGGGAATCTGGGGGCGGAAAATTGGAGTTCAACTGGTTGGTCTTATTTGCTGAAATCATGCGGTAGATTCTTAGGGATCACCCATTTTTTGGAACCGAAAAGTTGAACAGTCACTTCTGCCAAACTCAAAGCCACGCCTTCCGGTGCTCAGTTGGAGCATTTCAATTTTGACATTTGATAAGGTCTTAGTTCAAGAGTAGGGCCCCCCAATCCACTGGTTTTGGGTTTTGCCATATTTTTCCCAGTATTTTTCTGGGAAGAATAGGGTTTACCATGGTTTACCACATTTGTAGACGCAAAATGCCGCAAACCAACCGGATGATCAATGGGAATTCCAGGATCCTAAAATGGAGCTACTGTACCATATGTTAGACATATTTTGGGGGTATATCCCCTTACATAGCCCTGAAAAATAGGCCTTATATATGGTAGGAACCTCCAATTTAGGTTCCTGAAATGGCCATTGAGATGAGTGTGAAACTCTCCAATAAGGTGGGTATGCTGGAGCTGGTTCGCGAAAGATGCCGCTTTCCGATAGCGCGAGTGCAGGGAGAGTCGATGGATGGGCAAAGTGCCGCCATTTCCAAACTCCACCGCTTGGTTTACCGTTGTTTCACTAGTTGTGGTCCTGTTTTTTCTGTTGCTTTCACTCATCCGCTTGCTTTTTTGGGGGGGATGGGGGGACATAAGCAATGACAATAATGACAAAGAAAAGAGGCTTGGCACTTGAAAATCACCATTTTTTTAAATGTCATTGTGGGTTATTAACATTGGTTTGGTGGTTTGGTCTTTATACCAATATGGTATAAACCTGGCGCTGAGGTATTGAGAGAGATATTCCGATCAACTTTCCACCGCCCTGGTACCCTCTGACCTTCGCCCTGCCAGACGACTTGGTGCCCGGGGGGATGGCCATGTTATGGCACTTTCGGTAGATGTAGAGATTATAGGGCCATGTTATTGGGATCTTTGCCTTGAACGGACCTTACCTTGGGCCTTACATAGGTGCTGTAGGAAGTTTTTAACAGGACCTCTGGTTATATCAGGTAACTGTCCTTTTTATTTGCGAAAGGTTCTTGCTGTTGAAGATCTATGGTCAAGCAATGTCACACCCACGTGCTGGTCAAGTTTTCGCGAAGTCCAGCTCCCAACAGTGGGCCACAGCCGCAGGAGCAGTGGAAAAGGCATGCAGAATCGAATCCGCACAAGCCGCTGGGGCCATGGTATAATGAGGGTTAGCCCCTCTTGGGACCTTGGGAATAGCTGCAGCTTGATCTCCCTTTATGTTCCCATTGGAACATTGAGAGATTCAACCTATACTCATCTTTAATATGGGATGTAATAGATGGATAGATGGATTCCATTGGATAGATAGATTTGATTCGGCTTGATTTGATCTGATCATCTCTGATTGATGATTTTTTTCAGGGTTAGAGTTTAGGCAATAGACATGCACCCAAAATTTTCCGAGGCCATCCTTTTGAGGCCCCCAGCCGTCAGGAAGTGGATCTACAAGCCGAATGCTGAAGCCATGGGCCGTGGCATTATCCTTGCGCCGTGGCAGAAAGCCACAAAATGTTGGCCCAGTTGGTTCTTTATCATGGGAAACAATGGTCATTATATATTATATGATTTTCAAATGATTCGGACAATATCTGGTTGGTGGTTTGGAACATGAATGTTATTTTTCCATATATTGGGAATGTCATCATCCCAACTGACTAATAATTTTCAAGATGTTCAAAACCACCAACCAGTAATATATTACATGAAATTCAATTGATTCGGACAATATAGCTTAATGGGATACATATGGGAAACTGTAAGCAACTATCATGGAAAACCATGGGAAACTATAGTTGGAACATTAATCCAAGTTGATGATAGTTGGTTTATGGTTGCTTCTTCTTTCATCATTATATTTTGTGTAGACACATGGTTAAATAACATGGTTCATACTAGTAGTTAAGAATTGGATGATTGATCATCTCATCCCTCCAAATATGTGTTTTGATCCCCACGACCTATGATTTCTGGGGATGTTTACGATGAACGGGAGAAGGGATGATGTCAATTATGTGCATCAACTATGGTTGGTTTATAAAGCTATGGACTCTATGGTTATATCATGATTAATATTCCCCATAAACATCTTTAAAAACCCTCACAGTGAAGCCATCCAGTGGCGTCGGCTCTCCTGTGACCCAAGGTCTCCAAAATTTCGGATGTGGACTCTCGAGAGCGTCCCTTCCGCACCAGGCGCAGCATTGGATCATTTGGGTATGGGTCAAAACTACAGACCTCAGGACCTGGGGGACCACAGATTTTAGTCGTTTTAAACTATCTAATGATGATTGGGGTGCCCAATTTCGACCCATACCCATTTGGAGGTTTCCTCTGCCGCAGTCTCAAAGGAAAGTTGCTGATAGGATCTGATAGGATTTTGGAAACTGAATTGAGAAACATCTGTTTGGTGGTCAGGTACTTCTCACTTTCAGTTCGCTTGATGAACCTGATGGCGCTTTTTGGATGTTACCATCTGGTTATTTAACATAGCCATGGTATAGATGGCCCATAGAAATAGATGGTTTACCTATTAAAAATGGTGAACTTCCATGGCAAACTGTTAGTCATAACCAGATGTTACATTTTGGGTTTTTGGATCCGAGTGGCCAGCTGCCAGGTGTAAAAACGTGGAGGTTTTTGATCCCAAGGAGCCTCCCTTGCTGCTCGGAAATGCTCAGATTTTCACCATTCTCCTTTGTGGATGGCCCGGATGGCACGTGGCTAAGCGGCCAAACCCATCCCCCGATAATAGGGCACCCCCCAGAAAGCAATGGTTTAATGGAGGATTTACACCTGTTTTTGTATCGGGCACCGCACCACCGCACCAAGGAAGGAGCGAGATTTTGCGCCACCAAGCTGCACCCTGGGGGTTATGATGGGCCCATGGGTCCTATGGCTCCTCTCATGGGGTTTTTGCCAAGTTCTTGCTATCTAGAAGTCACACAGCTGGGGGGTTAAGCAACGAAAAATTGGGGATCTGTCGTCGAGGAAATAGTAAGAAATAGTTATGTAGAGAGATGCCGGAAGAATCCAAGGGCCCTAATGATGTTGGACTCTTGAGTTGGACTTGAACATGAGATCCACCATGATCCACCACAAGATGTACAAGTTCTGGGCTGGTGTTGATCCTTAAGGGAAAGGAGCAGATTGTAGGCACACAGGCGTTTAGCAAACAACCACAGGAACGTCATGTGCCCAGTGGCCACAAGAACCTAGGCATTCTGGGGTCATCCAAGAGTACATGGTGACGCTTGCCGCGATTTAGTGGATCAAAGCCATTTCAAGCCCAGAACCAGCAACCCAAGTACATTTGCTTTTAGGAACGTCCACAGTGGACGATTTCTGAGCCAATTTGTTCCCCCCCCAAAAAATACTAGATAGACTATCAGAAGTGACTGTCACCCGCCTTGGTGGGCTTTGAACCCGTAAATCAGGAGTCATGACCACCAGATACCACCAGATATCTCCGGTGTCACATCAGAAATGATCAATCGTTGACCTCACTGGGCTTAAGCTGATCAGGAACCCTTTGCTCCTGGAGAACCGCAAGTTCGCCGTGCGGGTCTACATGTTGGTGGCGCGAACCAATCCAATGCTGGTCTTCCACTACAACTTCGGCTACATCAAGCGCTGTGGCCAGTACTATGACGAAAACAAGTTCAATCGTGAAGATTTGTTCAGACACGTCACCGAGCAGGACTCTTGTGACAACTCAATCGGAAAGAAGGTTATTTCAATTTATTTTGTTCAAGAGCTTGGAACTTCTGTGCATTTACACGTAATTTTTTGTAACTCCGTTTGCATAATGTAGACGACCTTTCAAGTTTTGTCAAGTCTGTTTGTCGTGATTTGGGAACGAGCGAATACCTGGGCTTCACCCATATGGAGAGATGAACATCTGCAATTATCAGCATGGAGAAACAGAGAGTGAAAACCAGGGAGCTCATTTGGTCAGTTCCTCAACCCCATTCTACAGACAGAGGGAGAGAGAGAGTGTGTGTGTTGGATTAGAGTAGACAAGATTAGATTACATAGAGCAGATTAGATTAGATTGGATGAGATAAACTAGATACATGGATAGATTGACACCTGACTCCCCCATCATTTTGCGCACTTTTTTACAACGACACGAGGAGTTTCAGAAAAAGCAAGAGGATTTCTACGAGACGGCGGCTGCCGAGCTCATGTCTCTGGAAGAGTTGGACAGGTGCCAGAGATTTCACGGGGGTAAAATTGGGGACGACGAAAAAGAGTCCTAGAAAAAGGGGACGATTCTGTGGGTACCCTCTGGTAAACTAACATAGCTATGGAAAATGGCCCATTTGTAGATGGTTTACCTATTAAAAATGGTGATTTTCTATAGCTATGTTAAATTACCAGAGGGTAAAACAATGCCATCTGCACCACCCCCCCAGGAAAATCACCATTTTTGGAATGGTGGTATAAACTTACCATTCCCACATTAAACTGGATGGCTTTTCTGTGGAGTTTCGAAAACATGGTAAACCAAAGCCACTCAACAGCTTCATTTTCCATCCTTAGCTGAGATGATGCACACAATATGTTCCTTGCAAAGCTGCTAGTGTTCCCAGCCCCCATCCCTGAGAATCCAGTAACTTCCACGCACACATTCCGTCACATTCCACTGGGTTCATTGGTGAAATCCATCATTTTTCTGATGGGTAAACACCTTCGTATTTCGTGGCACTTTTAAACGCCAGAAAATTCGGCTGGCACCCTGGGGCCAGGTACCTGCAGGAGAACTATGGTATCCCAGCGTTCCGCTTGAACTTCTGGCAGCAGGTGAAGTCCATCTGTATGGAGATCACCTTAGGCATCAAGGAGGGCACCGCTGGCACGGCCGCTTTTGCACCGGGGGTTGCCGAAAGGGCTGCGTTGTTGCTGTGGTTTGTGCTGGAGTTGGCGAAAAATGACGTACTGCTACGTAATGAATGAATGTACGCTTTAACGTTTAAACATTCGATAAGATTAATATATATATATATATATATGTTGATGTATTATATATATATATTTATATTTATATTATATACAAATAAATGACTATACAATATAATGTAAACTATATCAACATGTTAACAATAAACATTGACATAGATAACAAAAGAATAAGGAATAACCAGGAAAAACAGGCTAAAAAAAGGTAAACCCACTGATGAACCACGCCGCAGGAGGGCATTGCGGAGAAAGGAAAGCTGGGGCAGTTCGAGGTCTTTGGACTGGACGTCATCGTGGATGCGGATCAGCGCGTGTACCTCCTGGAACCTTAGCGGCCTTGGGCGGCCGGGTGGGTAGCGGCCGGGTAGCTATGGGCTTTCGGTGTGGGAAGGTTGGTGAAGCATGGTGAAGCCAAAAGAATCATAAGCCGTCCCTATTTTTCCCGTGGTTTATGGATGTTTATGGAAGTTTATGGAAGTTTGTGGCATTATGCCCCTATGACTGGGATGATGTAAAATGCCACGCACATGGCATCAAATGGCTGCGCTATACAGTATGAACAGTATATTATATAGGAACACGTGTGCAAGCCAAACTATTTTGTGAAATATGTGGGAATACACATACCCTCCGGTAATTTAACATACAGTAACTGTGGAAAATCACCATTTTCAATGGGAAAACTCACTATAAATGGCCATTTTCAATAGCTATGTTAAATTACCAGAGGATAAACGGAGATAAGTATGGAAGAACACAGAAACACTCATTCTGATTGTGACGGTTTGATGGTCCAATTTCTTTTTTCAAAAGGTGCCCTTAGGGCCGGTTTCGCGTTATTTTTGTAAAGGGCATCCATCTAGTCATCTAGATGTAAATCTTGCCCATTTATTGGTAGACAAAGCACACTCTGATATCCACCCATCCAGATTTCTCTGATGTTATCACTAAGAATCTCGTATGGCTGAACCATCCCCCCTTAGCAGAGGCTTTTCCTACCGAAAACTGGAGACTTCCGCCATGCATCCCAGTGTTGGCTTAGGGATTTAATTAAAGGGAACATCTCTAGGAAACGCAGTGATTGGGCCAACAAAAAGTCAAGGCTCTCCTGTAGATTTTCCCCTAAATCTACCCTCTGGTAATTTAACATAGCTATTGAAAATGACCATTTATAGTGGATGTTTCCCATTAAAAATGGTGATTTTCCATAGTTATGTTAGTTTACCAGAGGGTATCCCCAAAAAGCTGGAGCCAAAATCTCCGGCAGCTCGACCGCTCCCTTTTTGGCCCCAGGAAGCCAACCGAGATCCCAGTTGGGTGGTGGACACAGAGGTGAAAAAGGCCATCTTGCCCGAGATGGTCCGGGAGATGTGCCTTGGAAAAAACCTGGAGGGAGATGAGCTATTGGAGATTATTGGAGGGTGAAGAAAGTAGACTGTAGACATATTTTCTGGTGAGTTATTTTTCTGAGATGGTTTTTGATGTTTTTGGGTTTGCCTATGTTGGGATAGCTATTTGGGGAATGGGGGATGGTCAACATTGGTCAACCGTTTTTTCATCTCCCAAAAATGGACGACAACCTGTTTGCCAAGCTCTGAGCCAAGGATGGAGATTGTGCTTTGGGCCCACAGTGATGAGGGGAAAAACAAGGAAGCAATGCTTCATTCTCCAATGCGAGGATTTGAGGTTCTAGTGGATGACGCTTTTGACTTTCAGGCAGTGGATGTAGAGTAGGTGGCCCATCGCGCTTTGACAGATGCTTCCGTTTGAAAAATCCGCTGCTCTGCCAACAGATGGTGCTGGGCGCAAGCACCAGCCATGAGCATCCTTATCATAGCAAGATCAGTTGCGACATAGCAAGGTGTGTCGTACCAAGTATGGACTGCGGTCCTTCAAAATCAGTGTTCCGGCTGTTTTTTCTGCATCAGGCTTTATTCACGTTTTTCGCTCATCTTTGTCGTCCTGAAATCTGCAGGACGTTAGTACGTTTTGTATGATATAAAACGGTTTCATGCAGAGTTTCCATTACCTTCTGGTAAACTAACAGAACCATGGAAAATCACCATTTTTAATGGGTAAATCAACTATAAATGGGGTATTTTCAATAGCTATGTTAAATTACCAGAGGGTAAAAGGAAGGGCCTTTCCACACCGGAGTCGCTGATGTTTCGGTGTCGTTGGTCTCGGCTGGCGTTCGCTGCGCTAACGCTTGCGCTAGCTGCGGAATATCGACACCATGAAAACTATGGAGATGCTTGGCTTTGCTGCTTAAAGCTTCGCAAATTTGGGGACAATACACACACACACAGGAAAAACACATTTCTTCCTATTTCTTAAATAAAAAATATAGGATTGGTGTGGCACTTCCTGTCTTTTTTGGTTGGGCACAATTGGATTCTTAATTGTGGTAATTGAGAATCAATAGGAGAACAGGATGGTAAAACAATGGGTTCAACCCCCTATTAGTAAAAATAGATTGCCACGAGGAGTTTTTTTGTTAGGGTCCCATCTCACAAGTTTTTTTTTTAAAAACATATTTTTATTATTACTGTAAGGTTTTCATTGGAATATTGGGGGAAAGCTTCGAAATTTTGTCAATATTTTATATAGATTTTAATAAGGGATTTAATCAAGTTGAAGTCTTTCTATTAAAAAGCAACTTATTATTACATAAAGGTTTCATTGGTATATTAGGGGAAGCTTCAAAATCCAGTTTTTGCCAACATTTTATATAATTTTTAAAAGGGATTTAGTCAAATTTGAAATCGAGTTTGTTTATTTGGATTATTAGGGTTTTCATTGGAATATTTGGGGCGCCCTAATACCAAATACCCCCAATAATTAAAATAGATAACCGTGTTTACCATTTGGGGGGTTTAGTAATAGGGAGAGGATTAATTTATAATATTATATATATATATATTCACGTACTCTCAGTCCACTTTGACATTTGAGCAGCAGTGGCCGAGATCGCCAATGATTTTGGTGATGAAAGTCCCTCTCAACAACTTCTCAACACCGAGCGGAATTCCACCCAGTGAATCGATGTGAATTGGGCGATTTAACCAAAAAGGGGTCCAAAATCATCCAGTTGTGATTCAAGTGATTGGCCATTTTGTCACAGGGGAAAGCAATGCTAAAAAAAGGGGGTGCTACAAAAATAGCTACCTTCTTGGAAATGACATGGACCAATGATAGCAATGTCAGGATGGATCTTTCTTCGAAAAGTGGGACTTTATCACCTCAGATGATCCGACCCATGGCTTCGTCGACTATGTCTCCCAAGCCGTGGCTGATGCGGATGGGCTGATCTGGGAGGATGCTGCTGAAGTCTTCATAGGCCTGAGCGGCTCCGTGAGTTGTAACCAAGGTCTGAGTCTTCAAGCAAACAGATGAAAAATGAGAAAAATGATATATATATATATATAAATGATGGATCATGAATTCCTTCAAACATGGAGCTTAGATGAGTTCAGCATATTTTTTCAAGTGTTCAAGTTTTTGTCAGTTTCCTTGTGGGATCGCGCCATGCCTCTGTGCTGCTAGGGGTGGACAATAGCACTGTGGTACCCTTGGACGCGCGCGGCCGCAAGTCCATTCGGCTCGAGTCGAAGCAGCGCTACAACGAGGGCCTCTTCGTGCTGTCTTTGGCGCATGCGCCGGTGAGTTGTGGTGCCTGGCCAGCCTTCTGGATGTTTGGATCCTTGGATGTTTTTTAATTGATATTGTATTATACCAGTAGTACCGCACAAGGCGGTAGCGGAAGTTTCAAAAATAAGAAGCCTATAGGAGAGCTTGGTTGTTGTGAAGCAGGGATGGCAGAGCGAAGCCACTGATGGATCGAAAGATGATGGATCTCTCTCACTCTTTCTCTGACTATCTACCTACCTACCTATCTATCTATCTATGTATCTATCCATCGATCTATCTATCTGTTTATCTCTCTACCTGTCTATCTGTGGTGCAGTGTCATTCCGTGTAATGTAGTGTAGTGTAATGCAGTGTAATGTAGTGGAGTGTAGTGGAATGTAGTGTAGTGTAGTGTAATGTAGTGTAGTTAGTGTAATTTAGTGTAGTGGAGTGTAGTGGAGTGTAGTTGTGTAGTTGCAGTTGTAGTTGTAGTTGTAGCGTAGTGGTGTGTAGTGTAATGTAGTGAAGTGTAGTGGAAGGTAGTGTAGTGTAGTGTAGTGGAGTGTAGTGGAATGTAGTGTAGTGTAGTGTGATGTAGTGTAGTGGAGTGTAGTGGAGTGTAGTGGAGTGTAGTGGAGTGTAGTGGAGTGTAGTGGAGTGTAGTGGAGTGTAGTGGAGTGTAGTGGAGTGTAGTGGAGTGTAGTGGGTTGTAGTTGTAGTTGTAGTTGTAGTGGAGTGTAGTGTAGTGTAATGTAGTGTAGTGTAGTGAAGTGTAGTGTAGTGTATTGTAGTGTAGTTGCGTAGTTTTAGTTGTAGTTGTAGTTGAAGCGAAGCAACATCTGAACCGCCAAAAGTGGTCCGAAACCCTAGTGTTTTTAACATTTTAACTTCCAAATATGCTTCGCGCCACAACGGCGTGCACTTTTTCGAAACTCGACATCTCAGCCTCCAAAAGTGGTCCGAACCCCTGGTGTTTTGCACATTTTGACTTCGAAATGTGCTTCGCGCCACAACGGCGTGCACTGTTTCGAAACTCGACCTCTGAGCCTCCAAAAGTGGTCCGAACCCCTAATGTTTTTAACATTTTGACTTGGAAATGTGCTTCGCGCCACAACGGCGTGCACTTTTTCGACATCTGAACCTCCAAAAGTGGAGCGAACATGTAGTGTTTTGTACATTTTGACTTCGAAATGTGCTTCGCGCCACAACGGCGCGCACTTTTTCGACATCTCAACTTCCAAAAGTGGTCCGACATTGGTGTGTTTTGTACATTTTGACTTCCAAATGTGCTTCGCGCCACAACGGCGTGCACTTTTTCGACATCTCAACTTCCAAAAGTGGTCCGCTCCTCTTGTGTTTTGTCCATTTTGACTTGGAAATGTGCTTCGCGCCACAACGGCGTGCAATTTTTCATCTCTCATCTGGCCAGCTGGCTCCGCACCCGCCGCTTTAGCGAGCCTACTTTTCGACCCTCCGGAGCCACAAATCATTGGAAAAACACAGTGAATCGCGACTTTCCTATCTTTTCGCGCATCTACATCTTCTTTCTTCTGATCTTTTCTCTTCTGACTCTTCTCACCTCTGCTTTTCAACTGTCCATATTGTCGGAAGTTTAGCTTCTAAACTTCCTTCGAATATTACATATATATATATATATGGATTATTATTATTATTTTTGATTATGATCTATTTTCGGTAATTATTTGTTCTTGAGAAACCTCGTGGATTCTTGGAAGATCTTGGAACATGTGAATATTTTGCATTTCCTTCTGAGGGTTTGGCCCCCCAACCAAAAAAACATCCGATTCTAGTACTGAAGGTGATTTAGACTTTATACAATGATTGATTCCATGGACGCAGCAAATGAGAAAGTTGGTGGACATGTTATCATCATAAACACACACACATATACTAGCGCTAGCGTTAAGTCGTATCAGCTTGTAAAAGTCGTATCGGGAGGCCGTGCGCCTGGAAAAAGTTCAAGTTTGGCATCACCACAACTTTTAGTAATTGAACAATTTCATTGTTTTGGGGCCGTGCGGCTGGAAAAAGTTCAATTTGTTTATTGCATTGATTTAAAAAAATATATTTGATCATTCTTTCAAGGGGGCAAACGCTGGTTGCTGCTTGCCTGCTGCTTGCCTGCTGCTTGCCTGCTGCTTGCCTGCTGCTTCCCTGCTGCTTGCCTGCTACTTGCTGCTGCTTGCTGCTGCTTGCTGCTGCTTGCTGCTGCTTGCTGCTGCTTGCTGCTCGCAAGACGGCGCAGACGGCAAGACGGCGCAAGACGGAACAGACACAACAGACGGCGCAGACGGAGCACCGACAATTCCGCCCGCAATGGAATGAAGGTTTTTTCCCAATTCGTAATTCCTGGGTGGATAGGACAACAAACTTCTTGAGAGCTGTCCACGACATTGATGCACATCGCGCCAGCCATAGATTTGGTTGCGGAAAACAAGGGGCCCCCATATCCTTATATCATCCTAGATCATAGCCCTGCCAATAGGATTTGCTACAGCTAACCCACTTGCATTGCAAGAAATTTGAGGCTGTACCAATAGGGGTTTGATTTGGTCACGCGACGCAGGACATCAATATAATATATTCAAATCCAATAGGATTAGCTGCCGAGAATTTGTTTGTATTAACTTGTGCCCTTCAAAATCATCGCTGTGCGCAATGCTTCGGCTATTTTTAACTACATCTCCAAGTATGGATGAAACAGGCTGTGCCATGGTGATTCTTCTTCCCTGATGTGACTTTCCACTACCTGATGTGACTTCTCCGTATCGCCGCCGTGCCATGGGGATGATGTGACTTTTCCCGCCTGATGTGACTTAAGTACGGTGCTTGTATATATATATATATGTCTACAAGGTGGCACCCCCTAGTTATAAGTTGGTTTATAATCCCCATTAATCCATAAGCCCTAGATAAACTTATTGGCTGATCCAATTTTCGATGTCTTAAACCCCAACATTTCAGTTGATCAAAACCCCTTTTGGACTGTATACGGATACAATATCTCGAAGTGAAGTAGATCCAGGAGAGGACGAGGCACATCCATGGCCCGAGTGGGGTGAGTTTGACATCATTGAATGGGTCCATGAGGAGGACGAGGCTGCGGGGGTTGGTGATTTTGGGATGATGGAACTCACCGCCAATTCTTTGGGGCAGGAACTTGCCCGGATCTCAGACATGTCCCTGTTTGGTAAAATCCCCATGAGATGGTCCAAAGCCACTCTTAGAGGGGATCTTGTGGGGATTATCATGGGTTCTCACTATTTTGCCACCCCCATGGTTCCAAACCCCAACCCAAACCACCAGTAAAACATTGGCTGGTTATTTCCTGTTCAGGGGACGCCCTTACAGCCTTTAACCCTAGAATGATGGCAAAAACCCATGAGTTTCTGGTAGTCAGTGTCCTCACAGAAAAACAACAAGTCTATGATCCACCACCTCTGGCCATTTTTCTTGGATCCTCCTCGACCTTCATCATTAAAACCTCGCCAAAATCCTGACAAAGACATGGTTTGATGGGCAAAACATGGTAAAACATGGTAAAACATGGTAAAACCCTAACATTTCCCCAGAAAAAAAACAGCTTCCCAGCTGAACCTCACACAACCAGGTCTCAGCGGCTTTGCATTCCAAGGAGGGCTGTTCTCAGGAGCACCTGAGCGACTCGATGAGCGCCAGCTGGAGCGAAGGGAAGCTGCCAGAGAGCGAGGCCAAAAACTGCTACGTGCTGGCCAAGGAGCAGTGGATGAATCAAGGTGCTGAAAGACACAAGAAACATCGTTGGAACTTAAATGAACTGAAAAGAACACGGGGAAGATTCGTTGGAAACATAGTTGGACAATGAAATATGATGAAATATGATGAAATATGGGGAGATTCATTGACATTGACTGAGGAAAACTATTGGGTTTTTTAAACCTAAACTAAGGGGTGCAGGTTCACCAGCAAAGAGTGGAAGTTGAGAAACATGGGCAGCGAAGTCGTTCCAAGCATCCCTGAGGTTGTTCCCAGCGCGCAGCTGCGGGGTCCATTGGCGCCACCTTCAATGGCCAGGGCGGTGGGAGCTATGCGGCCGAATGGGACCCGATGGAGGGGCACATGCGCATCTGGAGCTGGGCGGCTGGAACTGAGCCCAAGGATCTGGTGGAGAAGCAGCCCCGGCCCGAGCAGCGCCTTGGATAGCTGCAGTTGGGGGGATGAGTCTGAAAATTGGGCCATGTTTACTTGACTTATGGCTGATTTATAGTGTAGTATGTAATGTGTTGTAAGGGGGTCAGCCCCCTGGATTTGACATGGAGCCATAATGCATATAGTATTCGGATTTGAGAGGCTAGAAGGCCGGAGTGCCTGAACCAGCTACTAAAAAGACTGCTTTCCAAGATTCAGTTTTAGGGGCCATATCCTTACTTCCAAGTGGCGCTTGAGTGCAAGGCAAGACAGAAGATGATCCGGTCTCTTTTTTGCTGTAAGGGCGGATGGTTGGCCTTTCATGAGCCCCGTGTGGGTCAAACTATTCGGTCAACCTTGGTGTCCAAGACCCACCGCCCCAAGTTCTGAAGCCCCAACTTTGAAGCACCTGGTTTTTCCTCTCGATTTTTTTCTCCAAATTGTCTGGGTTTGATTCTTTGAGGTGGGGAAGGCCACAGTTCTTCTTCAGCCTGAAAGAGGTTTCTCGGCTGTGCGAGGGTCTGGGCGTTGCAAACATCTCAGAGGTCCCTGGTAGGTAGGAGCCAGAAGGTATACACACGCACACACACACACACATGAATTTGTATATATACCCATGCATCGAGTTTGGCAGGCTTGGGTGTGCATGTATCATCTTTAAGTGTTCAATGAATGCTATCATTTTGGCTCAAGTAAACTTGAACCAAAATAGCATTCATTGCTGTTTCTTTCTCGGTCGTTGTAAGGGGCGACCTTACTTGACCTTGATTGGTTGGTTCAAACTCAACACAAGGGGTGACCTTGTATGCAGCGCAAACTCCCAGGCATTGATATTCCAGCAGCCACTGAGGTGAAGATCCTGCATGCGGCTGCGTTTTTGGAATTCAAGAACCACGTGGAGAGGCTGGCAAGGGAGGGCTTGGGGCCGGCAGCATACACATGCTGGATGCATGGTATCGAGGTGTTGCACTCCCCCTACGTCATCACTACTGGGACGGACTCAGAGTTGTTTCCCCCCTTGCCGAAAGTGCCCTGCTGCCTTGATGGATGTCCACGTTGCGCAGCTCATGTGGGTGGGTTCAAGTTCCCGTGGCTTGGCTTGTGGAATAGCCGGGGAGTTGTGCTGCCTGATGATGTGGCGCCTGCGGCTGCTTGGGAGTACTACTACCAGCATCAAGAACCCATGGATCTCCTGCTGGTCTCGGCATACACGAATTTCAAGGTGGCCGATGACGTGGTGCCCCAAGAGCTCTATGGACTCCAGCTCAGATGTTCAGCGGGTGACGCTGGGCAACTGGGCCTGGGCGAGCTTTTCGAGCAATGGAGGATCTGGCTTCGATGTGTGGGCCCGCACGAGCTCCTGCCGATCTTCCTCGAGCCGCGTCACTTCCCCAGGGCCCCCAGGGGGCGACCCTGGCCGGCATGGGGGAGAGAGGGCGCCAGGGCTCATCGAGCTCTTTGTGGATGGCTGGAAAGCCAAGAGGCCAGAGTCCAGCATCTGTGGACTGCATGCACGGAGTGTGGCGACCCCACCAGGCGCGTGTGTTGGGCCTGCTGCGTTGGCATGTGTAGTGACTGCTATACATGGAGGCAGCCATGCACAGTTTGTGGAGGCCGTAAGAAGATGTTCGCTGAAGGTTGATGCTATGACAGAGGAGGCACCTCTGGAGTCACCGCAGCATCTTTTTGCTCTCCGCACCTTAGCAATTTTGTTAGGGTGCAGTGCCATGGCATCAGGCGGAAAAGGCTACTACGCAGCTCAGGCGGCAGCCTCATCTTCGTCAGGGGGTGACCCTGCACCAGGATGGAGGGCGGCCGACTCTTTGATGATGATCGCTGCTCAGAGGGCTCGTCAACGGAGGGAGAATGAAGGCCTTCTGGATGACAATGACTTTGCCTATGCCTACACAGACTACGATCAAGTCGTTGGACTCGCTGGCCATCATGTCGCTGATGACTGGTTGCAGACGCGAGCAAGGGTCGAAGAAACCCTCCTTGCCGCTGGAGCCAAAGTCGTGGAGGACCACCCCAAGGGTTCCGTCACTCTGCGCCCAGTGCGCAAGACGATCTACAAGAAGAAGCCCAGAGCCATCAATGTCGACAAAAACCTGAGTGAAGCCGTCCAGAAGAGGGTGAACGGCGTGGTTTCAATGTTTGTTGGCATGGGCGCTTACAAGCCAGCCGGCATCTTGACCGACACCCTCAAAGCTGAATGGAAGCAGACGTGCAGGAGGATCGCCGAAAAGAAGGTGAAGGATGCTGAGAAGGCCACCATTGACAGAGTGGTTAACACCTGGTTGGAGCTGAGGACATTCTTGGAGAGCCGGGGGCGACCCGCTCCTCCCGGAATGGTCGACCTTGACCAGTTCCTGAACCACACAGCGGCACCAGCACGGGCACTCCAGGCTTTGAAGTGGATGAACAAGAATGCCGACCAAGATCTTGAGCTGGGCAATTTGCAAGTTCCCACAACACCCAGGGCGACTGGGCAGCGTGGGCAGGCTCCTGTGGTCGAGCCACCTTTGGTGCAGGCCTTGGAGGACCGCATCATGGAACTGCATGCGGTAGGCGATGAAAGGTGGTCAGTCCTCCTGGCCCCTTGGGTCATGGCGTTTGGCTGTTTGAGGTATGCGCACATATCTCGATCAGAACCTCGACGCCTCACCGCTGCATTCCTCCATTGCAGGTGCCCCAAAGGCAAACAAAGGCATGCTCGTGAGGGATTCGACTTTGCAGTGCCGGCAACCTTTGCCAATGGGTTCTTTTGGGCCAAGGAGGTGTTGGAGGCCTACAGGACACTGGCACCGGCAAGGCAGAGGCTGGCAGGTCTTTGTTTTTCGGACGAAGGACGCCCTTGGACGATCCTTGAAGTTCAAGAAACGATGCAACAGGAAATGTCCGTGTTCCTCGACAATCCTGAAGACCTGACCACCTACAGTTGGAGAAGGTTGGCACCCACTGTGGCCCAATTGTTGGAATGCAAGCCTGAAGAAATGGCCGCCCTGGGCGACTGGCAAGCCAAGGGCGAGGTGCCAGAGGTGGGTGCGATGGCTTTTCACTATTCGTCGGCCAAATACGCCGCGTCGATCAAGGTGAAGTCACTGATCTGGGGTGCGACAGCAAAGCTGACTAGCAACCTGCTGTGGGAGGCGATCCCGCAGTCAGAGCTAGATGCAGCCCGAGCCCACGGCTTAGCAGAGGCCGACCGGTTGCTGAGGCAGGACAGGCAACCAATGTGGGCCTCCTCACACAACTTTCAAGATGTGAAGAAGAGGCTCAAGCTGTCACAACAATTTGTTGAAGCCGCGCAACAAGCCCGCCAGGAGGCAGAAGCGGCACCGGCCCCCCAAATGCCGGACCACCTTCAAGGAAAAGTTTTGACAGCCACCCTGAAGAACGGCAAGGCCATCTGCCCAGACTACCAGACGGATTCGTGCCCGAACGAAGCAGACTCCTGTCCCTTCGGAGTGCACTTATGTGCCGTCTTACAAAAATCGGGACGGGCATGCGGTGGCAAACACGGCGCTGGTGTGTGCCGCATCAAGCGCGCAGTGCTGGCTGAGACCGCAGTCCCGGCAGCCCCCAAGCCTTCGGCATCCTTGGTGCCGGCAGCCGTTGGAGCGAAGGCTCAGTTCGGCAGAAAGAGGACCGTGGCAAGTGGAGCAACCGATGACGAGGTGGCAGAGGCTATGCGCTCAGCCGTTAAGAGAGCCCGAGGTAAAGCTGCACCGAAGACACCGCCTAAGGCGCCAGCAATTGCAGCCCCGAAGACGCCTCCAAAGGCTATGGCTACCACCCCCAAGCCAATGGCGACAGCCACAACTCCCAAGCGCATGGCAGCCCCTGGAAAGCCACAGATCAAGGCCATGCCCAAGAAAGGCCGTGGGAAGGCGGCAGGAGATACCTTGGACATGCACCTCGAAAGGTTGGGTGTTGGCTCAGGGACAGCCCAGGCTCCAACATGCATCTGGCAGTCTCGGAAGGGAGGTTGCCTCTACTTGGCGGGACTTCCAATGCAGCAGACCATGGATAAGTTCCCCAAGACGGCGCTGCAGATTTGCTGCTTCCCGCATGGTCCTGAGAGCCGGGGGGGGGGGTGACCCTCCCGGGGGCTCAGCTGATGACCTTTGCGGCGGCTTACAGCCAGGAGCGCAATGAGCAATGGACAGATGTGTGGCCAGCTGTGAAGAACACGGTCTGGCACGGAGACAATGTCCTAGTGCACTGCATCAAAGGGAGGCACCGTGGTGCCTATCTAGGCACCCTCTGCCGAGCCTTGCTGGAAGGCGAGTCCATTGAGGCGGCCAACAACTTTGTGGAGAGTCGCCGAGACACAGAGCTGAACAAGGTGATCAAGGACCAAGGCATGAAGAAGTGGCTGCACAAGACCTTCCAGGAGACAGCCGTGGGGACACAGCATCCTGAACCCCAGGGGTATGCAGCCACAGAGCGTTCCAGCACACATGTCACGGTCGAGGATGGCATCACCTTGTGCCAGCACAAGCAGGCTGACGGGAAGGCGAAGCGCCTGGTGAACCCGTACATGTCCACGGACATCTATGAGGCCCTGGCCTGGGAGCGTCCCTGGTGTGACCAGTGCCTCCGACGAGCACCGGCATCATGGTGGCCACCGGCCTGATCGACCAAGCCGAATTTTTGGCCTTTGCGCTGATTTAGCTGCATAGGCCCGTTCCGGCCATGGAGAGCCGAATTCATCAGCTCGGGGCTTGGATAAGAGCTTAAATCCAGCCTGCATGACCGCCCCCAGCAGTGACATCGAGTGCGTTTGAAAAACAAGAGCTGCTAGGTTACAGTGGGGGGTCCACTGTGGTAACCGCACTTTCATGAGCGACTCATTTCTTTTTCATTTATTTTGCACTGGCATGTCGGACAAGCAGGAGGGGGACTCCAGCGGGACATTTGACATCATCAGGGGACTCCATGAAGGTGAGTTCATGCGATGCCTATGCTGTCATTTCAAATCTTTGCATGTTTTGTATTTTAGTTTTTGCTGAAACAGCGTCCTATCTGTCATGTCAGGCCGTTCGAGCACACTGCACGGGGGAGACCCGAGGCGCAGTTTTCAGTCAAAGGGAGGGATCCCTGGGCCTTAGCTAGAGGGGTGTCCTCAAGATCAGGCCATGGAGACTGATAAAGTCCCCCTGGAAAAGGGTTCCCCCGAAGAAGTCCTTCGGAAGTTGGGTGACAACTTCTTATTGGATGATGGGGTAGTGGAGGCCCTTCTCCGTTTGGGAGTGGAGAGCTTGCAAGAGTTTCGGTTCCTTTGGGCCTCAGAACAGGCCATCGAAACATGGGTAGCCAAGTTAGGCCTGGGAGACAAGGCCCTGCTGATGACAGCAAGAGTCCGCAGAGCATGGGCCGCAGTGGGGCTTTACTACCGCCAGGTGGAACAGGATCGGTCCAAGGTCGCACTGTCGGACCTCGACACCATGCTTGGGGAGACCGAGCTGCGAGACACCAAGCAGCAGTTTTGGCGCCG